TGGTGGAATTATCTCCGGCTTTCTCCCTGTATCCAGTCATAGCAATAAATTCCCTTCTTTCCTAGTTTGTCTGCTTCTCATCATTGGGCCTCAAGAAAATGCAGCTGAACTCGGCCTGTTTTCGGGAACAGAATTACGTTCATACTGTAACTGATGTAACTTGCTTTCTGAATTCAGTAATATATGGCGAACTACCTTCCATGTCAGTACTTACAGATATACTCACTTCTCCCCTCCCTTTCCGTTCTGTTAAGGTATAACTGAAGTACGTTGCATATGCATGTGTATACTACACATTTAAAATGTACAATTTGATCAGTTTTGGGGTATGTGTACAGTTGTGAGACCATCACTAGGCTAAAATAACGTTTTAATCACTTTTGAAAATTTTCTCATGACTTTAGGTAATCCACAGATTACACAGAACAAGAATCCGTAAAATACTTCCTTTTAATGGTTGTAAAGTATCACGTTTGTGGTAGATTTAAAATGTTACACGGTCTTTGCTGCTGCTCTCATTGAGAGGCGGAGCATATTTCCCTTCTCTTGAATCTGGACGGTCCATGGAGGTGTGCTGGTGCGCTCTCTCTCTCTCTCTGTCTTTCAGTGCAAGTGACCTTCTTTTTTTTTGAGACGGAGTTTCACTGTTGTTACCCAGGCTGGAGTGCAATGGTGCGATCTCGGCTCACCGCAACCTCCACCTCCTGGGTTCAAGCAATTCTCCCGCCTTGGCCTACCGAGTAGCTGGCCACCATGCCCAGCTAATTTTTTGTATTTTTAGTAGAGACGGGGTTTCACCATGTTGACCAGGATGGTCTCGATCTCTTGACATCATGATCCACCGGTGATTAGTTTTTTAAACATCAATCGGCGACAGGAAAAAAAAAACCTGCTCCTATTGATGAATATTTAGGTTTTGTCCAATTGTTCTCCATTAAAAACTATCCTGTAAATGTACTTTTTTGCATACATAAGCATTTCTCTAGAATAATGTCTCAGAGATAGAATGATAGACCTGCTGGATCCAAGGACTATCTTCTCTATCTCTCTTTCTCTCTCTCTGTCTCACTCTCCATTTCTCTAGCCTCCATTTTGATAAGTGTTGGCAAGTTTCCCTCTAAAAAGAGCATATCAACTCCTGCCCCCCAAAAAAGTGGCATTTTTCCTTCACTCTCTGAAAAGTCTTTGACAATTCACTTCATCTCCTTCTGTTTTATTTGCTTCTCTTTAAGTGGAAAATAATAACCCTACCCTGCTAACGTACAGGGCCGTGATGAAGACCTCAAAACTGAGATCTGTTTTTAACATTTCTTTCATTTTTGTGTTTTTCCTTTATGCAAAGACATGCTATTTTGACAAACAAAGCTGAAATCTGAGTACGATTTTACAAACAAGGTGTCATCCACTATGATATGGGGACCTTAATCATTTGGGGATAAGACTCCTCGACTTTGTCCTTTTCCTGAGATGTTTTGGGCAATCCTGGCTCTTATTTTCTTGCTCTTTCTAGCTCTCTCTCTCTCAAACACAATACGTATATTTAAACCTTCCACGTATGGATGTACTCCATGTTTAAGTGTTTATTCTATCTATTTGAATCATTTTATGGGAACATTACCAATACTTAAACACATTTTAAGAACTGCAATTGTATTCATCCTGGTGTCTAGTCCTTCTGGCAGTAAGCTAAACATCACCTAGAAACAGGAAGAAATTTGACTTGTAATACAGAGCATGACAGTGAATCCATTCTAGGGAGTTTGTACTTTTGGGTGGTGGTGGAGGACTAGACAATATTTCTTCATACAGAAGAGAAGCCCAGAATGAATAGAAGCTTCAGCATGTTGTATACCACACTTTCCACTAGATTTTGAGCAACACTGCATTGCTTAAATGTATATACTTCCATGCTAGTGTTCTACACAATTAGAATACCCCATAAAAACTGCTGTTAGTCTATTTCATTGGTTCCTCTCCTGTCCTTCATAAGCCAGATGGTGACTGCTAGATCCTGTAGGCATGGCTGACTTCCTTGGCTCCCTCAATTCCTCATTCAAGAATAGATCAGTCATCATTGTGTCTTCCTTCCTCTCTCCTCATTTGACCTGATTAAACCTTCAGCCTTGGCCCAGATCTTTTCCACTGTTATCATGACCTACTTTGCATCCCTTTAGCACCATGAATCACCAGTTGGTAAAAATATTTTGGCAGGGCAAGGTGGCTCATGCCTATCTTCCCAGCACTTTGGGAGGCTGAGCCAGGTGGATCACTTGAGCCCAGGAGTTCAAGACCAGCCTGGGCACCATGGTGAAACCCTGTTTCAACGAAAAATTCAAAAAAATCAGCTAGGTGTGGTGGCCCATGCCTGTAGTTCCACCTACTGGAGAGGCTGAGGCAGGAGGATCCCTTGAGCTGGTCAAAACCTCAGTGAACCGTGATCACGCCACTGCACTCTAGCCTGGGTGACAGAGTGAGACCCTGTCTCAAAAAAGGAACTGAAAGCAATGCTTAGAAGAAAGAGGAGTGATCTAGGATTCAGGACAATCTGCGGTAGCAACACATTTGGGAAAGCAGTTGCTCACGTTTGGCCCTTGAAGGATAGTGTTTGGTAAAGAGATGCCATCACAACTTTCAGCAGGATTAAAATTATTTTTGAGGATTGTGGAAATAGAGATCACTCTGTCTTGAAGAAGAGAAATTATGTTTTAGGCACTTAGGCAAATAGAGTCACATGTCTGTACATATCTATAAGGCGACTTTCTTGCTGGGCGCGGTGGCTCATGCCTGTAATCCCAGCACTTTGGGAGGCTGAGGCGGGTGGATCATGAGGTCAAGAGCTCGAGACCATCTTGGTCAACATGGTGAGACCCCGTCTCTACTAAAAATACAAAAAATTAGCTGGGCATGGTGGCGCGTGCCTGTAATCCCAGCTACTCAGGAGGCTGAGGCAGGAGAATTGCCTGAACCCAGGAGGCGGAGGTTGTGGTGAGCCGAGATCGCGCCATTGCACTCCAGCCTGGGTGACAAGAGTGAAACTCCGTCTCAAAAAAAAAAAGACGACTTTCTTTAGAAAATAGTGGTGGATTGGTGATGGGGAAACAGTGCTCCAAAGCTGAGTTGAATAATTTAAAAAAACCTCTTATTCTACTTATGCTAGAATGCAAAACTCATTATAAAAAAGAAAAAAAGAAGAAGGAAGAAAGAAAAGAAAAGAAAATCATCAGTAATCCCAACCACCTGTCTATGTTTTGGAACTGTTCCTTTACGCCAAAAGGATCATATACTGTTTCATTTGCCTTAATTATATTGGAGCCATTTTCTCCAAACAAATACATGTTTTCTATAACATGAGATTTTAAACTCTATTTTGAGATAATTTTAGACTTAAGAAAACTTAAGAGTAGTTCAAATATGTTGTTCACTCAGCTTCTCCTAAGGTTATTATCTTACCCAAACAAAACCAGGAAATGAACATTGGTGCAAAACGATTACCCTATCCCCTAGCTACAGACCTTGTGTGAATTTCTATATTTTATTCTATAATTTTCTCCACAAATGTCCGTTCCTGTCCCAAGATTCACTTCGGGATCTCACATTGCATTGAGATGTCTTGTCTTCTCAGCGTCCTCGGAAATGCAACGGTTCCTTGTCTTCCCTTTGTCTTTTATGACACACTGACACTTTTGAAGAATACTGGTCAGTTGTTTTGTAGGAGGCTCTTCATTTTGAGTTTGTTTGATCTTTTTTCACGATTAGAATGAGATTTTGCATTTTTGACAAGAATACCGCAGAAGTTGTATCCTGTCTTCAACCCATATTTTCAGGAGTTTCACGATAGTTGACTTTGGTCACTGGGTTAAGGTGGCGTCTGTCAAGTTTCTCGTCTGTGAAGTTGCTATTTCCTCTTGTTATTAACAGATATCCCAGGGAGATTCTTTGGGATTAGGCACATTTCTGTTTCTCCTTCAACTCTCACCTGTCATTTTAGCATCGATCCTTAGATCTTACCCGCAACAATTATTACTGTGGTGTCCTAATGATTTTTAATTTCTCTCTCTCTTTCGACATTTATTGATTGCAGTTCTTCTGTAAGGTAGAAGATTGTCTCTTCTCCACCATTTATTTATTCAATTGTTTATTCATAGCAGTATGGACTCATGGGTATTTATTTTATTCTGTAAATTATGATCCGATACTATCATGATTTATTTTGTTGCTCAAATCTACAATATGCTTTAAATGTTGGAATAGAATTATGTTTTGTGCCACAAATTATTATTATTATTATATATTTTGAGACAGAGTCTCACTCTGACATCCAGGCTGGAGTGCAGTGGCGATCACTATAACCTCCACCTCCCGGGTTCAGGAGATTCTCTTAACTCAGCCTCTCAAGCACCTGGGATTACAGGCGTGTGCCACTATGCCCGGCTAATTTTTGTGCTTGTAGTAACGACGGGATTTAACCACGATCCGCTCATCTCGACCTCCCAAAGTGCTGGGATTACAAGTCTGAGCCACCGCTCCCGTCCTGTATCACAAACTATTGATCCAGTCCTTCAATGTTAGACATTCACGTTGCCTCCAGTTATCTGATACCGTCAATGACGTCTGAGATACACATTTTTGCATTTTTTATGTTTCCATAAATTAGTTCTCTAGCAGGGGAACTACTGGATGTTGGAAAAGTTTATGCTTTATGTTTTGATCCAAGAGGCGGAAATTATCAACATGCCAACATGGAAATTACACACTCCAGACACTCCCCCCAGACTACCCAGCTGTGAGCAGAGAGGTGTAGATCCAAGTACCCTGCTGGCAGGGTGATATAACGCAGTTGTCAATAATCTGTACAACACGTAACAATAAAGTTATTGATGTTGAGGAAGAGACTTCCGGTAGGGGCATTCCTATTTCCGTTGGGTCCCGTCTTCACCTTCTACGTTTCAACCGGAAATAGTCGTACCCATTTAAAGTCACGTCTGTACTGGCCTCGCTCCCGCCCCCCACACTGCGGAACCATTTCCGGGGTCAGGGCATTCCGGCCCGCCCCGCCGCCGGTGCAGTGCTGGAAGCTCCGGGTCTCCCGGAAGTGGCCCGGGTCTCTCTGTGGGGGTCCCCTCCACCCCCCCTGCTGCTGAAGGCCGCGGGGGCGGGGGCGATGGCGGAGGCGGCGCTGCTGCTGCTGCCCGAGGCGGTGGCGGAGCGGGACGCTCGGGAAAAGCTGGCTCTCTGGGATCGGAGAGCGGACACGACGGCGCCGCTGACCGACCGGCAGACGGACTCGGTCCTGGAGCTGAAGGCGGCGGCAGAGAACCTGCCGGTGCCAGCCGAGGTGAGGTGATGGGCGGGAACCGGGCCGTGGCGGCGGGGCTGCGATGCTCCTCGGGCGCCCCGACAGGACCCCGGCCTCACGCAGCTTTGCCCAGGATCTCTCTCCACTCCTCCCTGGCCATGGTGGCGGATCCGGTGGGAGGGGCCTCCACCTCCTAGGCTGTCAGGCTTAGCGCTGCCTGCGACCCGCACCCTAATCCTGCCCGGGGGCTGCTGTGAGGGCGTCCTGCGGCTGGTGCCCACCGGCGCCCAGTCCTCCCCCAGCAGCGTGGGATGGTTGCCCGGGAGTCATGCCCTGAGCGTCTTCCCCAGAGGTCCCTCCTGTCAGCCGAGGCGTAATCTTGCTGCCCACTCTCTCCCAGGAGAGGCAGTGAACCCGAGGCGCTCTGCTGCGGGAGTCTCCAGTGCGTGGTCCTTTACCTCCTGAATGAATCACCTGGCTTGCTTTGTCCATGGGGGTCTTGGGGAGACCAAAACTTGATCCTGAATGACGGTTTCATTTATCGCACCTGTCAAGTGCAGGTTATGGGAGATCAGATTTATTTCGCCTATAGCAAAGCAATAAAAATGAATTTTATTTGAAAGCTGGGTCAGTACATTATTGAGCAGTGCTGGTTTTCGGTTTTAGTGTCCACATGCTTAATCCACTTAACGTTAGGATATTAGGCACTGCTGTACTTGTGCGATTCAATTCAATGAGTTATGATAGCAGGACGTAACATGAATTGTCAGATGTTTGACAAACTTTTTCCAGTTTTGAGGGCCAGGTTTAGGAAGATTATTTTGCAAGTAGTGGTGATTGTTACTTTTGATATTGGAAGCATTCTTTTTTCTCGCTCTGTCTGCCAGGCTGGAGTGCAACCTCCACCTCCCGAGTTCAAGCGATTCTCCTGCCTCAGCCTCCGAGTAGCTGGCAGCACAGGTGCCTGCCACCACGTCCGGCTAAATTTTTGTATTTTTAGTGGAGATGGGGTTTCGCCCTGTTGTCCAGGCTGTTCTTGAACTCCTGACCTCAAGTGATCTGACCGCCTCGGCTTCCCAAAGTGCTGGGGTTACAGGCGTGAGCCATTGTGCCCGGCCCGAAGCATTCTTTTTATACGATTTGGAATTGTGTCCAAACCGACATTGAGTTTAGGATCTTCAACTTTTTCTGTCCTCCTTCTTTAGAGGTTTGATTTAATCGTTCTCTTCACATTCACTATTGTATGCTCTGCCTCAAATAGGCGTTCTTCTTGGGTTTCTGTTTCTGCCTCTAGGATGTGGTGCCGGAATGGATCTGAAATGAGGGAGCAGGTGGAAATTTTTTTGGCTCATCCATGAAACTCTTTTATACGCTGGATAATAAAAGTTGTTTGCTCTATGATTTTCCATTCTGTTTATAATTGATTTGGCACTGGGGGTGTGATGGGGGCGATACATATTCTACAAGAAAATTTGTTTTCATTGTCGTGGATCATGAACTATTATTTCTTATTCTCATTGAACATGAAGGAGAAGGTTTGGAATGAACTAAATGGACTTGTTCATTTTCACCCCGCTCTTCCATGTCTGTCATCAGCCACGTGCAGTATTTAACGTATGTTGCGTTCCTACTCTGAGTTAGGAATTGGAGATAGAAAGGTAAATAGGAAAGATGAGATCCGTAGCCTCACGGAGCTGACATAATTGTGGGGATCATGAACATGGAAAAAAAGAACAAAGAAAGTATGTTCAGACAGTGGCTCATAATATAAGGAAAATCAAATAGGATGGTGTGACGGGGGCGAAGTGTGCCCTAGAGACAGAGAGATGGCCTCTCCAAGGAAGTGACAATCTGAGATGAGAGGTGATGGCGGAATACCCGAAGCCAGCTTTGTAAAGACTGAAGAAATAACATTCCAGCTGGAAGAAAGAACAGTGTCAGCTTATGGGTAGGGGATGAGCTTAATGAGTTCAAGAATTCAGTGAGGGGCCTCTGGTAGGTATAGCTTGGTATTAGATTCCTGTGAGAATGCAGTAGCTGAGGCCAGGCTCAGTGTCCCACGCCTGTAATTTCAGCACGTTGGGAGGCCAAGGCAGGCGGATCACTTGAGGTCGGGAGTTCGAGACCAGTCTGGTCAATGTGGCGAAACCCTATCTCTACTGAAAATACAAAAATTAGCTGGGTGTGGTGGCACATGCCTGTAATCCTAGCTACTTGGGAGGCTGAGGCACGAGAATAGCTTGAACCTGGGAGGCAGAGATTGCAGTGAGCCAAGATTGCACCATTGCACTCCAGCCTGGGAGACAGGCAAGATTCTGTCTCAAAAAGAACAATGCAATAGTTGAGCTGTTATGCACACATCCTGGACTCTTTGAGATGGAAGTTCTCATTGCTCTTCAGTTTTACAGCCCTCATTTTCCTTTTCTAAAGTGTTTATATGTCTGTTGGGAAGATTTTGGAATTAATTTTTTTAGCCCCATTACTACTCTTTTAACACTGGCACCAAAGAGAGTGTGACAGTTTTCATTTTGTCCAACCAGTATAGCTCAAGGAGTTTCTGTTTCACCATTTGCACGAGATAAATTACTTCCTGAACAGCTGGAACTGAGCAGGTTAGTAGAAGAGCAAGAGGCCAACTAACTAAGTACATATCATAAAGATGTCAACTTCTTTAGACAATAGCTTTCTCTTTTATGAAAGAGAACTAGTTTTATCTTAAAAAGGAAATATGCCTTTTTTTTTTTGCCATTAGAGAAAATAATTTACCATAGAATATTAGGTAGTCTTTTGTAGCCAGGGCAAACTTACTAGTAGTGAGGGGCCTATTTCTTTATGCTGAATTTAGTAATTCCTGATAAAATGCTAAAATAATTTGCCATGACACTTACTTATAATTTACTGTTACAGCTGTTGTTTTCTTGTAGGCTGTGTGACCGTAGATGTAATGTTTATCTTTTCTGAGCCTTAATTTTCTTTTTTATACAATAGGGGCATAACTCATGATGGATACTTATAGGGAGTTGTGGGAATTACATGAAATCACGTATGTAAGGTGCACATGGCAAGTCACTTGCTAGTATTATTCTTGTGCTTTCTTTCAAATCATTAACATGTTAAAAGAATAGATTAAAATCCTGTGATGCCGAGCTGGTCTAAAGTGTCATTCAGACCAAAGGTAAGAAAAGGAGAGGTCAGGTGCTTGAGGAAGAGCTTGAGACTCCGTCTGTACCGCTTCAGTAATTTGCTCCAAACTGAGAATGTAACATCAGGTTTCATTTGGGGAATTAATTGATCAGAGTGATCATAGAAGTGGTTTTCTCCAACCCAGAACTCTGCAAGAAGTAGAGCTTGGGACAGAAAGTTATGTTACTTGTTATGTCCTGGACCTGCTCAGCTGGTCAGGCAAAACTTGATTATTTAATGTTAGTGTCTCCATTTGCGTAAACTATACAGTCGCTCTACGGCACCGCCGCTCTCTAGTGTGCTCCATCTGGAAGCCAGGACAGTGCTAGTAAGCAGGAAGCAGTCACCTCCTCCTTAGAAGTGAATGAGAAGTCAGAACAGGAAAGTGTGAGTCCAGGAGTTTGAGACCAGCCTGGACAACATGTACAGACCCCCAACTCTATCAAAAATACAAAAACTAGCTGGGCATGGTGGTGCATGCCTGTTGTCTCTGCTCCTTGGAGACTGAGGAGGGAGGATGGCCTGAGCTCTGGAGGTGGAGTAAGCAGTGAGCTGAGGTGGCGCCATTGCATGCCAGCCTGGATGACAGGCAAGACCCTGTCACCAAAAAAAAAAAAGAAAAGAAAAAGCTTACTAACGGTGGGACTTCAGTGTCATGTTTATATTTTGAGACTAGCATTTAACATAGAGCCTGAAGTGTTAGTATTATATGGTATTTGTATTAACCTAATACAGTTTTTTTTTTTTGTTTTTTGTTTTTTTTGAGATGGAGTCTTGCTCTGTTGCCCAGGCTGGAGTGCAGCCTCAGCCTCCTGAGTAGATGGGACTATAGGTGTGTGCCATCATGCCTGGCTAATTTTTGTATTTTTAGTAGAGACGGTGTTTCACCACATTGGCCAGGCTCGTCTTAAACTCCTGACTTCGTGATCTGCCCGCCTTGGCCTCCTAAAGTGCTGAGGTTACAGGCCTGAGCCACCGCACCTGGCTAACCTAATATGATTTAATGGAAAATATTTCTTTCTCTTTTTTTTTTTTTTTTTTTTTGAGACGGAGTTTCGCTCTCGTTACCCAGGCTGGAGTGCAATGGCACGATCTTGGCTCACTGCAACCTCCGCCTCCTGGGTTCAGGCAATTCTCCTGCCTCAGCCTCCCGAGTAGCTGGGACTACAGGCGCGCACCACCACGCCCAGCTAATTTTTGTATTTTTAGTAGAGACGGGGTTTCACCAAGTTGACCAGGATTGTCTCGATCTCTTGACCTCGTGATCCACCTGCCTCGGCCTCCCAAAGTGCTGGGATTACAGGCGTGAGCCACCGCGCCCGGCCTTCTTTCTCTTTCAAAACAACTGAGGTGGAAACTCAATCTTGAGTTAAGTTCACAGACTTTTCAAGTTTCTTAAGTATTATCTTTGTGACTCTCTTTCTTCAAGCTCCCGATTGAAGACTTGTGCAGTTTAACGTCCCAGTCACTGCCCATTGAACTGACTTCAGTCGTGCCTGAATCCACAGAAGACATTCTCTTGAAGGGCTTCACCTCCTTAGGAATGGAAGAAGAAAGAATTGAGACCGCACAGCAGGTGAACTGCAGTGTCTTTTCTAAGGATGGCTGATTATTTTAGATGTCTCAAGGCAAGGCTAATAAAGGTCCTAATTAAAAGTTGTGAACACGTGTCACCATAGTTAACATCAAGTCTTTCTAGAACATTCTCGATTGTGTGATAGTTGTGGCTGTTTAAGTGTTTCAGATGAATCTATTGCCCAATTATAGTTATGGATATAGGGAGAAAACATGATTTCCAGGCTGGATGTTGATAGATTGTTGAGGTTTTAATGATTTATGCACTGACTCCCCCGCATCTGTCTTGTGTTGACCTGTCCCCTTGGTGTATGCGTGCGCACCCCTTCATCCCACTTGTGGCTTGGTAGGTCCTTTTTTAAAAACCCAAATATCCTCTTTATATCAACACTTACAGTTAGTTTTCAATAATTTAGCGTGTGTAATTTTTCTTGGTTTTTGTTCATTCCTAATGAGAAGCCTAAACTTATAGTAGTTTCTTCTGCCACTTTTCTTGTCCTATTAAGAGTCAAAGTCGAGGCATTTACCAAACAAAACATAAAGTACATGCACTGGTTTGCATATATAGTAAGTCGGGAGAGGCAGTTCCACAAACCCATGAAGAGCTCCAGCTCCTGAGTTAGGCTGACCTGCATCGGAAAGTCAGCGCCATCACTTAGCATCTTGGTGAGCTTAGGCAAATTACTTAGCTTCTTAGCTCTTTAGTTTCCTAATCTGTAAAACAGGGATAATTGTATATTATCTCGTAGGATTTTTGTGAGAGTTAAATAAGATAACGGATGTAAAGGCACTGTGTAGCAAGTACACAATACATGCTCAGTAAATGATAGCCAAGGCACGCGGCGAGGCTGTACACCTTGACATTGAGTCTTATTTGAGATTCAGTGTTCTCACTTTCACTTGAAGGTAGTCTTGTACCACATCTGTGAACTTGTTTGGACTGCTTAAAAAAGAATCTTCTGGATGAAATTTGTTCTGTTCTCACTTCAATTTAAAAAAAAACTAATATACTGACTTATAATTTATGTACAATAAAATGTATTCATTTTAAGTGTCAGTTCAACGAGTTTTGAAAAGAGTATATACCTATGTAATTAACAACTATAATTGAGATATAAAACGTTTCTGCATACCTGTTTAAGGTCAACTCCCCACATTCCCCTTTTAAATGATAGATATTTTTTGGGCCAGAATTGAGGCTCAGGGCCAGCTGATACCAGAGTCCGTATTCTTAAACCCCTCTGTAATATATTTTTGAGTTATGGCCTCACAGTTCCTATTAGATAACGTTAATATTGATATTTACTCAGATTTTGTAAATGATTATAGCAAGTAGGCATTAGCTTATTAGGAAGAAATATTCATTTTTTACATATTTTATGTTTAAAACTCTTTTTTATTTGACTCTGAAAATGGCCAGTTTTTCATTTGTTTGTTTTTTCAGTCCTTTAAGACATCTGAAATGGCCAAAGTTTTAATATCCTTTGCTTTTCCTTTCATGTAGATATTGTGGATGTAATTAAATTGTCTTCTCCTGGCTTAAAACTGATTCTGTCTGAGCCCTAAGCAATGAAACTTGGATAGCATCTGTCCTTTTGACTTGATGTTTAGCATGTAGCCTCTTTTAACTTTGTCAGTTTTACTCTTGTTGACAGTGTAATACTCTGTTTTCCAGTTTTTCTCATGGTTTGCAAAGCTGCAGACTCAGATGGATCAAGATGAAGGAACCAAATATAGGTACGTGTGTCTCTTGCGTTTGTGGGGGATCTTGAGTTTTAGATCACATTTCATAATCAGTGTTTTTAAATAAATTAAGGTACTAAGAAGACGCTAACAGCCATATGTTCTTTAAGAATAGCCAGTGAGAAGATTTGGGTCTTTAAAACTGTTATTAGAAGTTGCGTGATTAAAAACAAAAAGAGAATGATGTTATAATTAATAGGTTAGGAGGCACAGAGTTTAGTTTCTAGTTAACTCCAGAAAGAACTAGGTTTAGGTAGAAGCTTTAGAGGAATTCTAGAAGGTGTTTGTTGTTCTTCTTTAGAAGGAGAAACATCCCTGAAAGACTTTCAGGATGGCCCCTTAGGTTGGGTGTAACATGGTTCTGTCAGTGGATGTTGACAGCATGAGGGAAATGACAGTGTACAGTTTCTAGCTGATTTGGGGGCTGCGGGTTGAGTGTTCACATTCAGTGTATTGATCTATAGATGGCTATTATTGCTAGGCAGTGTGGTATCATCCCATTTAATCTTCATAACAGCTGTGTGAGGAAAGATAGTACTATTCTTACTTTACAAAGAGGAAACTGAGGCCTGGAAATGATAAGTAATGTCATGCAGATTGGGGCAGAGCTGGGGCTTGGACCCAGGTCTTTTAATTCTAAATTCATAATTCTTTCCATGACATCACACGATCTTTCAAAGAGGGAAGTGATCTGAAGGATTGACCTTACTTGGTTCTTTGGGATGGCTTTGGTGTCCCAGTCTTTAGAAGTTGAGCCAGTGATTAATTACCTTATATGTGAAAAGCCAGGTTATGGCTTCAAGGCTAATTACTTTTGTTACTTACAGTACTTGCCTTCTTAAGTATTGAAACAGTTTATGACATCACTTTTGATACATTTCTTAACATAATCAACGGGGTGTGTAGGTCAGACTTTCCTCCTGAAATCTGAACATTTTGGGAAAAATGAGCCTTTGTTGTTACTTTACTGTGCTTACTGGGGGAAAAGATTATTGCCAATCCCCTTTTGGTTCTGTTTTCTAGACAGATGAGGGATTACTTGTCTGGGTTTCAGGAGCAGTGTGATGCTATACTGAATGATGTAAACAGTGCTCTTCAGCATCTGGAGTCTTTGCAGAGACAGTATCTTTTTGTGTCCAATAAGACAGGAACCCTACATGAAGCCTGTGAACAGCTCCTTAAAGAACAGGTAATCAGAGTAAGAGAGAGGATTAGTCATTGTGCTTGATATTTTAAAATAGATGAATACAGTTTTTTAAAAATGTTCCTAATTTCTCTAAGATGTTCGACTCTGCTGTGTTGAGGCCCTGTGCTAAGCATGCAGATAGTTAAACTGACAGTACTTTTTCTAGTAAAGTCATGGAATAAGAGGAAAGGCAAGCTTTCTTATGTTTTCAGCTGTTAGGTCTCAGTACAATTTCAGAGTGTAGTGGACATGTTAGTTTGCTCTTTCTCGTCTTTATTACTGAGACTTTATTTTTTATTTTTTCACTCTGTCCCCCAGGCTATAGTGCAGTGGTGCGATCTCAGCTCACTGCAACCTCTGCCTCCTGGGTTTAAGCATTTCTTCTGCCTCAGCCTCCCAAGTAGCTGGGTTTGCAGGCCTGTGCCACCACGCCTGGCTAATTTTTGTTTTTTTAGTGGAGACAGGGTTTCACCATGTTGGCTAGGGTGGTTCCGAACTCCTGACCTCAAGTGATCTGCCTGCCTCGGCCTCCCAAAGTATTGGGATTACAGGTGTGAGCCACTGTACCTAGCTACTCACACTTTTCAAACAAGCATAGTGATTGTACTAATGGTGAGATTTTGAAAAGATCAACTGATGGATTACTTTTGACTTAATGGTGAGATTTTGAAAAGATCAATGATGGATTACTTTTGACTTAATGGTGAGATTTTGAAAAGATCAACTGATGGATTACTTTTGACTTAATGGTGAGATTTTGAAAAGATCAATGATGGATTACTTTTGACTTAGAGATAGAACACTCGTTACTATATTTATCTCAGTATGTACTTTTCTCTGTATGTGCTTTTGTGTGTTTAAAAAGTGTCATCATTTATTATTTTATAAAGAAACATGAAATTTACTGTAATAATTATCACATATTTGAGAATTCTACATGATTGTAGAAATACTTGAGCTGTATTCTTATATCTGATATAAACCTCTGTCTAATGTAAATCTGTTTAGTGTAACTTTGAGACTGGTGTGCTGATTCTTGTATTCTTATAATAATTTATTTTTCTCTTTTAAAAAATGCAAGTCGGAACTTGTTGATCTGGCTGAAAACATTCAACAAAAGCTTTCCTATTTTAACGAATTGGAAACTATTAACACAGTAAGCATTGTTCTTTACTTTTTATAAAGTTAGTGATTCTTATTTTATTTTTGCCTTTCTTGGTGTAATCTTTAAGTCTGTAAGTTGGCTTGAGTGATATTTTAACTGAGCTTGTTTGCTGATAGATATTCCGATTTGTATACCGTGGAGGTACCATTACCAGTTCAGATTTTTAAAAATTTGAGTTAAGATGTATTTCTTAAATTGTATTCTTGGTATTAAAATCTCTTTACTGGTTACCTCTTATGGTTTCTTATTTGCAGGCTTTGAAGAAGATTGTAAGAAGAAATACTCAGTTTTAGATCTTGCTGTGGTTGTGCTAGGACTAGGACAGTAATCAAAACATTTTTAAAACTTACTCTCATGTTTACTTTGAAGAAAAGTATGGTCCTCCTAGTGTATACTTGTATCCCAGTAAAGACAGCGACGTCAATTATATTCTGTGTTTCTGACTCATAAATTAATCATAATTATCTATAAATCATGTAATCATAAAGTATTTATTAAAGACATAGAAATGAGACTAGTGGGTAGTTAACAATGGAAAGTAGTTCATTGCCAAGCTCTTTGTATATCAGGTTAAGAAATGATTGACTTGTTGTATTTTACTTCATGTACGACTGCTGGTTAACCCTTTAAGCTTCAGGAAATCACCGCTGTTTGCAAGTAGAAAAATTATGTATATTGTATATCAGAAAGTGAGAACTCTAGGTACTTCATATATTATGTTAATATGACATTGTCTACTGGGGTGAGATACACTGTGTCCTCATTCATGAAGAGTCCCATTAAAGCTTATTAGGAATAAACGGAATTAAATCAGAATTCTTTTTCTATTTATCCCTTTATTGTACATGTGGGCTACATTTGCGGATATTCTGGTGACTTTTAAAATGTATTATAAAGACCTGTTATATCCTAAAGGCAGATACGCTGATTCTAATCCATAGTTCCTAACTTCCGTCTGTATGCTTTTTGTGAATTAAGATTGTTTTATTTTTCCTTTAAAGAAATTGAATTCCCCTGCATTGTCGGTGAATAGTGATGGATTTATACCTATGCTGTCCAAGTTGGATGACTGTATAACATATATCTCATCTCATGTAAGTCATGGTGTTTTTGCATGTGTTAGAGAAATCTTAAGATTCCTGTTATATCACCTCTTGTGCTGTAAAGTGATTATTTCTGCCCAAGGGAAGAATGTGTATTTGTAGCATATTAAAGAAAAGCTGTAGTGAATTCTTGGTCATTATTAGCAGTGGTGTGAAAGTACTTTCAGCTCCTGCAGTGGCCCCTGGAATGGACCGCAGCCTGGCTGACTCAGCTTCATCCCACCTAACAGGACAAGGGGTTTTTAACGTGTTGGCATCTTGATGTGCTAGGATTTCTTTGGAAACAGAAAGTGTTACCTGGGGAGAAATAAAGGGACGAGCCCTTCAATTGAATCACCCTCTATTTGTATTTCTTCAGGATTTATTGCTGTGTTTATTTCCCGTAACTCCTGTTCTTTCCTTAGTTGGGCGTTGCATATTAGCCTTGAAGTCTGTGGGGTGCTGAAAATATCTTTTGCTAACAACTGCAAATATGTGTTGAGCTCCCTCTTTGTGCTAGATACAGTAGGTTTGACTATGACTAAGACAGTCACAGTATTTATTCAGCTTTGTGGAGTTTATGATCTTTGTGAAACCTGTTTTGAACTTTATATATTGCTTTACGTGGGGACACCTTGGTTTTCACTAAAAGATTGCTTTTTGTCAGTGTTTGTCTCTGGTTTTTGAATCTTTCTCTTTTCCTTACAGCCTAATTTTAAAGATTATCCTGTCTATTTGCTGAAATTTAAACAGTGTCTTTCTAAAGCCTTGCACCTCATGAAGACATACACTGTGAACACACTACAGACCCTCACAAATCAGTTACTGAAAAGGGTGAGTTAACTCATCTCAACAACAGATCATTTTCGTTGGTGTGTTTTGATTCATTCATCTTCCATCATCTTTGGCTGAGGTTAGTACTTTGTAATGCGAAAAATGTTAAGTAAGAAAAGGTACCGCAGCTTTTTATTTATACTGGGGAATAATGACTATGTTATAAATACCCCTTGCAAATCTTACTTTCAAATAACATTTAATAGTGTGAGAAGTATTCAGTACTATATGATGAATAATAAGATACAAAGTATTTGTTGCTTAAAACACTCCTTTTTCATTCCATATTAGAAATTCCAATTTCATTCCATTTCAATATTAGAAGGAAATATACCAAAATCGTAAAAATGGTTCTGTCTGAGTGGTGGGATGCAATGCATAAGTTAAACTTTCTTCTTTTTTTTTTTTTTTTTTTTTTTTTTTGAGACGGAGTTTCGCTCTTGTTACCCAGGCTGGAGTGCAATGGCGCGATCTCAGCTCACCGCAACCTCCACCTCCTGGGTTCAGGCAATTCTCCTGCCTCAGCCTCCTGAGTAGCTGGGATTACAGGCACACGCCACTGTGCCCAGCTAATTTTTTGTATTTTTAGTAGAGATGGGGTTTCACCATGTTGACCAGGATGGTCTCGATCTGTCGACCTCGTGATCCACCCGCCTCGGCCTTCCAAAGTGCTGGGATCACAGGCGTGAGCCACCGCGCCCGGCCCTTAAACTTTCTTCTTTACATTTTTTTTGTAGTTTTCAATTTTTCTGTGTTTAGCAAACATTTTTATTGAGCATTGCCTGGTGCTTGATATTATATTAGGAATTGTATAGTAACGAAGAGGAGCCAATACTGTCCCTGCCCTCATGGAGCTTATATTCAAAAGAAATGACCAGTACAGAAAGAAACAAGTCAGTTAGTTATGGATTATAGGTGATTCTAGGTGGAAAATTAATAGAGTATAAGGTTAGAAAATAAGACTAGAACTAGCTAAGACGGTCATTGAACATATTCCTTTCCTAAGAAAATAAAATCATAAATGTTATGTTTTAGTTTCTAAGCGTACTTTCTAAAGAATGTGGCGTGTCTTTTTGAACTTTCCATTCAAAGCTGGTGATATTTGGCATTTTTACTGGTTACGTTGTTCTTAGCTGACATAACAGCCAACCTATGTATTTTTGTATTTTGCAAAATTTTCATTAGGTTTAGGCAACTAATGTCTTATAAATACTGGTACCTGTCATGTGCTAAAGCTTCACTGTTGGGCTGCACCAAACCTTTAGGACTTGAGCGGATGCACTGAGCCTCAGAGGGACAGAGTACTCGGGCCAGGGTCCTACATTCAGTGAGGGCAGAATGCGAAACTGAATTCAGGTGTGTTTACCACCAGAATTTAAGTGATGTAAGGTTAGTTATAACGATAGAGGAGAGAGAGATGACAGTTCCATTTAATTATTTCTCATTTGTAGCCATAATAATATTCAATTTCTCTGAGATTTTTCTCCCTAAACTTTGGCTGGTGTGCAGGCCAAGCAGTAGCCACAGGAGATGGTTGGTGTTAGGTTTTCTGAATGATTGTTTGTTTGCTAATTATCTTCCTTCCCTATCCTCCCCCATGTTTCTTTAGGATCCTTCATCTGTACCTAATGCAGACAATGCCTTCACATTATTTTATGTGAAATTTCGAGCTGCCGCCCCCAAAGTCAGAGTAAGTCTATTGACATAACTAGGACATTGCTCTGAGATTTGCTCATCCAGCCCCTTTGAAGTGTTATTGTATGTTAAGCCCTTTATTTATACCGAAGGAAATGAACGTGAATGAAAGGTCGACATCGTCTCTCTGAGTTTATAGTGGTGTTTCTTAGTGTTGTGTCCTGGTTCTTGAAAAGTCTGCAGAGCAGGAAACATCTGACTTTTCCTGTGATGCTCAGGGATGCTTTCTAGATGAATGTGATAGTCGAGTTATAAAAGGTTGGCTAGTGGTCTTGAAAAGGGTATTTTGATACAGAGAGAACAGCACATGTAGGGAAGGTTGTAGGAGATACAAAAGACATACATTTTGGGAGAGATCTTTATATGTTGTTATGACTGGAATGTGGGATGTTAGTGGGATATGATGGGAAAGAAGACAGGAAAGATGAAAAGACTCTCTCACGAGGGATGTTGCATGTTGTGCTAATTTAGGAAAAGCAGAAAACCAATGAAGTGGTTTCTTAAATGAGTAGTGATTTGGTCAGATTTGCTAAACAAACACATAAACCAATGGAACAGAGTAGAGAACTCAGAAATAAATGCATGTATTTTCAGCCAACTGATTTTTGATAAATGCACCAAGAATATTTAGTGGGGAAAGGATGATTGCTGGGAAAACTAGATATTCATATGCAGAAAAAGGAAACTAGACCTCTGTCTCTCACTATATACAAAATCAAAACAAAATGGATTAAAGACTTAAGATCTGAAACTATAAAACTGCTAGAGGAAAGCATAGGGGAAACGCTTTAGGACATTGGTCTAGGCAAAGATTTTTTTTTTTTTTTTCTTTTTGAGACAGAGTTTCGCTGTTGTTACCCAGACTGGAGTGCAATGGCGCGATCTCAGCTCACCGCAACCTCCGCCTCCTGGGTTCAGGCAATTCTCCTGCCTCAGCCTCCTGAGTAGCTGGGATTACAGGCACGTGCCACCGTGCCCAGCTAATTTTTTGTATTTTTAGTAGAGACAGGGCTTCACCATGTTGACCAGGATGGTCTCGATCTCTTGACCTCGTGATCCACCTGCCTCGGCCTCCCAAAGTGCTGGGATTACAGTCTTGAGCCACCGCGGACAGCCTAGGCAAAGATTTTATGGCTAAAACTTCGAAAGCACAGGCAACAAAAACAAAAATAGACAAATGGGGCTATAATAACCTTAAAAGGAAACGATCACCAGAGTGAAGAGACAATCTGTAGAATGGTAGCAAATATTTGTAGAAATATTCATCTGACAGGGGACTCATACTCAGAATATACAAGGAACTTAACAGAAAAAAACCCCGAATAATCCCATTAAAAAGCAGGCAAAGAGTGTGAGTAAATGTTTCTCAAAAGGAGACTATGCAGATGGCCAACAGATCTATGAAAAAACACTCAGCATCACGAATTGGTAAATTTACTCATGTAGATCGAAACCACAGTGAGATATCATCTCACCCCTGTTAGAATGGCTGTTAACAAGAAGACATAAAAGAAGTGCTGCTGAGGATGCAGAGAAAAGGAAATTCTTACACCCTGTTGGTGGGAATGTAACTTAGTACAGCTGTTACAGAAAACAGTGTGAAGATTTCTGAAAAAACTAAAAATAGAGCTGTCATACTATCCAGCAATCCCACTACTGCGTGTTTATCCAAGACCAGGAAATCAGTATATTAAAGGGATACCTGTGTTGAATGCACCACTATTCATGATAGTAAATAGATGGAATCAACCTAAGCGTCGATCAACAGATGAATGGCTAAAGAAAATGTGGTATATGGGGGGCAAGGGGTATATATAAACAATAAGATACGATTCAGCTGTACCAAAAATGAAATCCTGTCATTTATAGCAACATGAATGGAACTAGAGGTCATTATATTCGTAAAATAAGCCAGGCACAGAAAGACAAATATCGTATGTTTTCACTCATATGCGGGAACAAAAAAGGTTGATCTCATGGAGGTAGAGAGTAAAATGATAGATACCAGAGGCTGGGATGGGTGGAGGAGAGGTGGAGAGGTTGGTTAATGGGTATAAATGTACAGTTGATAGAAGAAGTGAGTTCTAGTGTTCAGTAGCGTAGGATGGCTATAGTTAACAATTTATATTTCAAAATAGCTAAAAGGGAAGATTTGAAATTTTTCCAGCACAAAGAAATAATAGATGTTTGAGGTGATGGATACTCTAAACACTCTGATTTGATCATAACACATTGTATCCATGTATCAAAATATTACATTTACCCCACAAATATGTACAATTACTATGTGTTGATGAAAAAGATCGGTTGGGTGACGTGGCTCATGCCTGTAATCCCAGCACTTTGGGAGGCCAAGGCGGACAGATCATGAGGTCAGGAGTTTGAGACCAGCCTGGCCAAGGGACCAGCTGGCCAACATGGTGAAACCTCATCTCTATTAAAATAAAAAAATTAGCCAGGAATGGTGGCGGGAGCCTGTCATTTTGGCTACTTGGGAGGCTGAGGCAGGAGAAATGCTTGAACCCAGGAGGCGGAGGTTGCAGTGAGCTGAAATCGCACCATTGCACTCCAGCCTGGATGGCAGAATGAGACTCCGACTCAAAAAGAAAAAAAAGATTAAGGATACAGTATAAAGAATGTATTATGATGAAGAGAGATTTGAGACAGGGCGGCCTCATGACTAAGGAAGATTCTGTAGTAATCCAAGTCAGATATTAGGGGTTGAATTAATGCATTGGTAGGGTATTTCATGAGGTTGGGTATGTATCTTATTCATTCTGCGTAGCAGTGTCTGGTACATAAAGGAATGCACAATGTATTTATTTTAATTGATAGCATGGCGGGGGGCAAAGATAAATATGTGTTATGTTTTATAACATAGCTGAGATACATTTTATTGAAGCTGGTGCATATATATTCTTTCTACTCATTGCTAAGTTTCTAGAAATAATAATCTGCTTCTGCTGACTGACTTCACTTCCTCACTTGTTTCTGCCAGATGACGGCTGGGTTCAGTGGCTCACACCTATAATTCTAGTACTTTGGGAGGCCAAGGAGGGCAGATTTTTTAAGTTTAGGAGTTTGAGATCAGCCTGGGCAATATGGTGAAACCCTGTCTACCTAAAATAGAAAAATTAACTGGATGTGGTGGCATGCACCTGTGGTTTGGCTACTTGGGAGGCTGAGGTGAGAGGGTCGTTTGAACCCAGGAAGTCAAGGCTTCAGTGAGCCAAGATAGTGCCACTGCACTCTGGCCTGGGTGACAAAGCGAGACCCTGTCTTTAAAAAAAAAAAAAAAAAAAGCCAGCCAATTGAAAGGATTTTTTTTTTTGAAATGGGAGAAACTTAATTTTGTTTATAGACTATATATTTGGAATATGGGTACAACCTAGATGTCTTGTAGATGTGTAACTGGATGTCAATTGATGGCATGAGATTTAGATTGTGCCTGATTGATTGCTTTTGCTTATTAGCCAAATACAAATGATAAAAATTTGATTAGAAAAGAAATGGTATAGATAAGAGGGTTCAGTGTAGTGGACGATTATAAAGTGATTATATAGTAATCAGTGGCTTTCCTACATACCATTAGTAACCAATTAGTATATGTGATGGGGTCCCATTTATATTATATCAGTGATAAAAAGCATAAAATACTTACCTAGTAATAACCTTAACAGATATATGAGAATGAAGAAAATGACAAAACTAGACAGAAAATCATAAAAGATTAAATAAATGGTAAGCTCATCTTCCTCCTAGTTGGGGTGATTTAATTTTTAAAATGTCACTTTCTCCCAGAGTAATTTATTGGTTAGAATGTACTCCTAGCAAAAATTCTAATAAATTTTTTTTCATGATTCTCAACTTTATCCAGTAAATAGGCAAGACTAAAGAAGAGAATTTTGTAAAATATAGTGTCATTGATTCAGGCATTCACTGACAGATCATTGGAATGGAAAGTTGTAATACTTAATAAATAAACATCCCAAATAAAAAAGGAAAGGCTGGAATTTTCTACATGGAATTGGGAAGATTTGCTAAATATTTGAAAAAAGTAGTAAGCTTTTTACTCTGTAACATTACCAAAATAATATATTCTGAGTGAACTAAAGAGCTAAAGAAACTAAAGAAAGATGAATAGCTAATAAAAAATGACCAGATTACTCACAGAACATGTGGAAAATATATGCAAGTTAAGGTTGGGTGACTTATTTTTATCTGTCAGAAATTGGCAGATTAAGGTCAGTGCTTTTGAGGATTTATGAGACAGACAATACTGCTGATAGAAATGTAACTGAATTCTTTCCTAAAAACATTTTAGAACAATAGACCAAAAGCCTGTAAAAATAGATACCTCTTTTGAGCTGGTGTTTTGGGGTCCCCACCTGGGAGGTAGGTGCTATTGTTATATCAGTTTTACACAGTAGGTAGTGGAATCTCAGAAGTGAACCAGCTTGCCTGGGCTCAGGAGTGAGTGCTGGAACCCGCTAGTTTCACTCCAGGCTCTTCACAAATGGGCTGTGATTCTTTGAAAACAGCCTAGTTATCTGTCAGTAGAAATGGGATATTATGTAGCCTTTTAGCATTAATATTTAAATCATGTTTATTATGATTCATTAAGTGTTTACTAGGTACCAGATACTATGCTAAAGGCTTCTGTACATTTTCATCTAGGATTGAAAAGTATTTAATGATAGGAAAATGTTTATGAAATAATGTTAATTTTTTTTTTGAGCCTGTCACCCAGGCTGGAGTGCAGCGGCATGATCTTAGCTCACCGCAACCTCCACCTCCCGGATTCAAGCAGTTCTCCTGCCTCAGCCTCCTGAGTAGCTGGGACTACAGGTGCATGCCATCATTCCCGGCTAATCTTTTGTATTTTTATTAGAGATGGGGTTTAACCATATTGACCAGGCTGGTCTCAAACTATTGACCTTATGATCCGCCCACCTTGGCCTCCCAAAGTGCTGGGATTACAGGTGGGAGCCACCACACCCAGCCCCAATAATGTTAATTTTTAAAAAATAGATTATAAAGCAGAATATGTACTATAATTACAGTTTTGTGTAAAAAGAAAAATATAGGAACTGTGGATATAAAAAAGCTGAACAAAAATATACTGAAATGCTGTGATTAATTTTTGGTATTACAAGTGATTTGTATGATTTTTAACTTTTTTATATTTACAGTTTTTCTGAGTATGTGATATGATTAATATTGTAATCAGAAAGTAATGGATAATATAACAGATGGCTTTTTAAATGCATTTTTTCTTACTCTGCAGACTCTTATTGAACAAGTAGAGCTGCGATCTGAAAAAATACCTGAGTGAGTACCTAGGAGTTAATCTGGTTTCCACATTAGCCTCGTCTTGTAGTACTGTTTCTCCAAATCGGGTTTTGTCTCTGATACTTACGAGCAGTTGCATCCTAGCTTGTTCTTGTAACACACAACTTATTTTGGGGAGCAAGGTCACAGACCTAGTAAGTTTACATGACAGCAGTTTTTCCTGTACTAGGATTTCCTTCTTATTTGGGCAGATGTGGGGTCCCTATTCTTGGAAAAGAAATCCTTTAAAAGATGAAGCTTATGGGATCACAGTTCATTATGGTTTGCTTTTGTTTTGTATCTACACTTATTATTAACTAGTTAATGTGGGCAAATGAAAGGTGACCATTACAGCTTTAAAAGAGGTTTGGATTTAAGATGAAATTTAATTTGTATATCTAAAATCACAAGTTTAATCTTACCTGTCTTCTGTCAGATACCAGCAACTGCTCAGTGATATCCACCAGTGTTACCTTGATCAGCGGGAGCTCCTTCTGGGCCCTAGTATAGCTTGCACTGTTGCAGAGCTAAGCAGCCAAAATAACAGAGACCACTGTGCCTTGGTGAGTGTCTCCTTGTTTTGGGTAAATGTTAAATCTTCCTTTGAGTTATGTTGATGCCCTAGAAACTGTATGTGGTTAAACAAGTTTTGGTGCCCATAGTGAACTAAAAAAGTGTTTTCAGTTATGACAAATCTAGTTTGGTAATCAGCCTTACTCAACTTTGCAAAACAGTCTAATTTTTTTACTATTTATTTATTTATTTATTTTTGAGACGGAGTTTCGCTCTTGTTACCCAGGCTGGAGTGCAATGGCGTGATCTCGGCTCACCGCAACCTCCGCCTCCTGGGTTCAAGCAATTCTCCTGCCTCAGCCTCCTGAGTAGCTGGGACTACAGGCGCGCACCACCATGCCCAGCTAATTTTTGTATTTTTACTAGAGACGGGGTTTCACCAAGTTGACCAGGATGGTCTCGATCTCTTAACCTCGTGATCCACCCGCCTCAGCCTCCCAAAGTGCTGGGATTATAGGCGTGAGCCACCACGCCCGGCCAATAGTCTCATTTTTATTTATTATTTTGAGATAAGAAGATTCACAAATAAGTATTGTTCTTGAAAAATGACGTTTCAAAGTTTGTAGATTTAACAATTTAGCTTAGCTTTTACGTCAGAAGTGCTTTTTTGTTTAGTGTTATTAATTCATACCATAAAAAATGAATAAGGGCTCTTTTTTGAAATACCCACTTTTGAACTAGAAAAGTAATTTGTGTTTATTATTAAAAGTCTGGAAACGAAAGCATTAAGAAAATAAAAATCACATAATTTCGTTATGTATAATCTATGGAAAACCAACCGTTTTCTGTTCTTCAGTAAGTTATTTAAGAGTATGTATGTGTAATCTCTGCAGATAAAGCGCAGGCTTTATTTCATAAACACTGGAAATGTTGTGTGTCTTTAACTGTAGGTGGTGTGTGTTTGTTTACTGCAGGTTCGTAGTGGCTGTGCCTTCATGGTTCATGTCTGCCAGGATGAACACCAACTTTACAATGAATTTTTCACAAAACCAACATCAAAATTAGAGTAGGTGGTTGTGGAATCTAACTCTTGTTCATAAAATTTAACTTGCTAATGACCATATTGAATTAGTATATTTTAGAAGTATTCTGTCGTGAACTGCAGAGTGTTTTAACGTGTGTGTGTGTGTGTGTGTGTGTATGTGTGTGAACAGAATATTGTTGGGTGGGACAGATATTTTCTTAAATGTGCAACTTACATGCTTTTGTATTTGTAATGTAGTTATTTAGATATTGTGGTGTGATAGGAAGAATCCTCTACAGGATTCTGTAGCCTGGGGGTCTAGATCCCTTTCTCTCCACAAAGTACAGTAATTCCTTCTAGTTTATAAATTCTGGGCCGGGCGTGGTGGCTCAAGCCTGTAATCCCAGCACTTTGGGAGGCTGAGGCGGGTGGATCACGAGGTCAACAGATCGAGACCATCCTGGTCAACATGGTGAAACCCCGTCTCTACTAAAAATACAAAAAATTAGCTGGGCACGGTGGCGCGTGCCTGTAATCCCAGCTACTCGGGAGGCTGAGGCAGGAGAATTGCCTGAACCCAGGAGGCGGAGGTTGCGGTGAGCCGAGATCGCGCCATTGCACTCCAGCCTGGGTAACAAGAGCAAAACCCCGTCTCAAAAAAAAAAAAAAAAATTCGGTGATTCTAACTAATGAGAGATTTAAAAATACAGATACTATTTAATAACCTTTTCTTTATTTTTCTCAAAATGTCTTTCAGATCCACTGGTCACTTTTGGTTTCTTCATGTTTGCTCTTTTGACTTTTAGAGACATTCTAAGCCTTTGACTCTTGTAATGGGGAAGAGAAAAACCCTTTATCATTGTAGTGGAAGTGATCACTTTTGATGAAATACTCTGTATAGAAGAGTACCATTGACAATATGAAGCATGTAGACAACTTAAGTTTTTCTTTTTAAATGTTTACGATTTCTCGAAGTACTTGGTGTATGACCAAAGCACTTTGAATTTTATTTATCTAAATCTTTAAGTATTCAAAAATTTTGAACTTATCTCTCCTGGGGGAAAAAATACCATTTGATTCATAGTGAAGTAGAATATAAAAGGTAATTACATCTTCAGAAATATTTTTTATTGTTTTTGAAGGGACATACAGAAAATTATTGCTGAAATAGATAAAAATGGTAATAGCTTGACTTTTGTCTGGGGGCAGCTACTTTGAGTTGACTGCTGTGGATTGCTTATTGATTCTGAGCTTTTGAAGCAAAAACAGTTTATAGAATTACTTTCAATCAACTTTTCCCTTATCATTCTGTAATGTTCTCAGATACTATTTTCCAGTAGATACTTATCATTCTTATCAACTGGAATGAGGCTTTCTAAACGATTAGAAAATCCTGAAAAAACGACTACTAATAGCCATGTTTTATTCTTTCATTTTAGTGAGCTTTTGGAGAAACTGTGTGTGTCATTGTATGATGTCTTCAGACCATTGATCATTCATGTTATTCACTTAGAGACTCTGTCGGAACTTTGTGGGATTCTTAAAAATGAGGTGCTTGAAGATCATGTGCAGAACAATGGTAAATGAGTAGAAATGATCATTTTAAGTTATATCACTGGCTCAATGAATTTGAAAAAAGAATAGGTTCTTCTTCCCTCACCCCACTAAATACTTAAATTTAATATTTTTGGAGCTTGGTGATGCCTTGCCCCTTCTTGAATGAATTTACACCTTATTCTGTCACTAAAGACATAATCAGATAGGGAAAGAATCTTAAAATATGGTACAATTAGCTATAAAATAATTATAGTCAGTTTTCTTTTTGGTAACTGGAGTCCAGAGAGAACACATCATCACTTTTGGGTAGGCATTTCCAGCATACCGTTACCGGAATACAAAATACATAAATAAATAATCGAATATATTGTATACTTTTGATTAAAAAACGAATTGTTTTTGTGTATATTCATAATAATAGTTCATCTTTTTTATTACAAATAAAGAAAAGTAGGTTTCTGGAGTAGCCCTACTTTGTCCATCTGGTGCATTTTTCAGTATTTGATTTGATTGACATAGAGAACATGATTTTCCTAATAGTACCTAGGTACCTTTAGAAAATACCCTGTAATCCCAGCACTTTGGGAGGCTGAGGCGGGTGAATTGCCTGAGGTCGGGAGTTTGAGACCAGCCTGGCCAACATGACGAAACCCCATCTCTACTAAAAATACAAAAATTAGCCGAACCTGGTGGCAGGTGCCTGTAATCCCAGCTACGTGGGAGACTGAGGCAGGAGGATTGCTGGATCCCGGGAGGTGGAGGTTTCAGTGAGCCGAGTTCGCACCATTGCACTCCAGTGTGTGCAACAGCCAGACTGTCCCAAAAACAAACAAACAAACAAACATACCCTTCAAGTAATTATCCTTTTATTTTTGAGACAGAGTCTCGCTCTGTCGCCCAGGCTGGAGTGCAGTGCTGCAATCTCAGCTCACTGCAACCTCCACCTCCCTGTTTAAGGTAATTCTCCTGCTGCAGCCTCCCAAGTAGCTGGGATTGCAGGTGCACGCCACCACACCTGGCTAATTTTTTTGTATTTTTAGTAGAGATGGGGTTTTGCCACGTTGGCCAGGCTGGTCTTGAACTCTTGACCTCAGGCGATCTGCCGCCTTGGCCTCCCAAAGTGCTGGGGTTACGCGCCCAGCCCCTTCCAGTAATGATTTTACCTGCAGAATTTATTGTCCTCACTTTGGCTTTCATTGAGACGCTCTGGATTTGTTACTCTTCCAGAGTTACTTCACTGCATTTAACTCATTCGTTTTCTCACGTTTTACTGCTTCTGAATTTTTTTTTTTTGAGATGGAGTCTGACTCTCACCAGGCTGGAGTGCAGCGGCACAATCTCGGTTCACTGCAGTCTCCACCTCCTGGATTCCGGCGATCCCCGTGCCTCCACCTCCCAAGTAGCTGGGACTATAGGCATTCGCCACCACGCCTGGCTAATTTTTTTCGTATTTTAGTGGAGATGGGGTTTCACCTGGTTGTCCAGGATGGTCTTGATCTCCTGACCTTGTGATCCACCCACCTCAGCCTCCCAAAGTGCTGGGATTACAAGTGTGAGCCACCATGCCCGGCTGCTTCTGAATTTTTTATGGCCTCTGATTTTAAAGTAAGAATTTTTTTTTGGTTTTGTTTTTGGGTTGCGGTCTCACTCGTCACCCAGGCTGGAGTGCAGTGGCATGATCTTGGCTAACTACAACCTCTGCTTCCCGGGTTCACGTGATCTTCCCACCTCAGTCTCCCAAGTAGCTGAGACTACAGGTGCATGGGTGTCACCACCATGCCCAGCTATTTTATATTTTTTTTGTAGAGAGGGGATTTTGCCGTGTTTCCCAGGCCAGCCGTGAGCTCCTGGACTCAAGCAATCTGCCTTCCTTGACCTCTAAACGTGCTGGAATTATACGTATGAGCCACTGCAACTGGCCAAAATTAATGTGAATTTTTTTTCTCTCAGCATCCCCCTCCTCCTTCCTCCTCCTCCTCCCTCTTCCTCCTCCTTCCTCCTCCTCCTTCCTCCTTCTTCTTCCTCCTCCCTCTTCCTTCTCCTTCCTCTTCCTCCTTCCTCCTTCTCCCTTCTCCTCCTCCTCCCTCTTTCTCCTCCTTCTTCCTCCTCTCCTCCCTCCTCCTTCTTCCTCCTCTCCTCCCTCCTCCTCTTCCTTTTCCTCCTCCTTCCTCCTTCTCTTCCTCCTCCTCCTCCCTCCTCCTCCCTCCTCCTCCTTCCTCCTCCTCCTCCTCCTTCCTCCTCCTCTTTCCTCCTCCTCCTTCCTCCTCCTCCTTCCTCCTCCTCCTCCTTCCTCCTCCTTCTCCTTCCTCCTCCTCCCTCCTCCTCCTCCTCCCTCCTCCTCCTCCCTCCTCCTCCTCCTTCCTCCCCCTCCCCCCTCCTCCTGCCTCCTCCTCCTCCTTCCTCCTCCTCCATCCTCCTCTTCCTCCCCCCTCCTCCTTCCTCCTCCTCCTCCCTCCTCCTTCCTCCTCCTCCCTCCTCCTCCTCCCTCCTCCTCCTCCCTCCTCCTTCCTCCTCCTCCCTCCTCCTCCTTCCTCCTCCTTCCTCCTCCTTCCTCCTCCTTCCTCCTCCCTCTTCCTCTTCCCTCCTCCTCCTCCCTCCTCCTCCCTCCTCCTCCTTCCTCTTCCTCCTTTTTTTTTTTTAAATAGAGGTGGAGTCTCACTGTGTTGCCTAGGCTAGGTTTGAACTTGTGGACTCAAGTGATCCTCCCACCTGGGCCTCCCAAAGTGCTGGGATTACAGGCATGAGCCACCGTGCCTGGCCTCATGTGATTCTGTGGTATATTTAACACCTTGTCTTTTCGAAGGCTGTTACTAGATTACTAGTATGTCTTAACACTGATGGCAGTTTTTTTTTTTTTTTTTTTTTGAGGCAGGGTCTTACTCTATTGCCCAGGCTGGAGTGCAGTGGCATGATCACAGCTCACTGCAGCCTCAACTTCCTGGGCTCAGGTGATTCCCACCTCAGCCTCCCAAGTAACTGAGACTATGGCTGTGCATCACCATGCCTGGCTAAGTTTTTGTAAGTTTTTTTATTTTTGTGGAGACGGGGTTTTGCCATGTTGCCCAGGCTGGCTGATTTTGAATGCCTGGGCTCAAGATATCTGCCTGCCTTGGTCCCCCAAAATGCTGGGATTACAGGCATGAGCCACTGCGCCTGGCTGATGGCATCTTAAAAATAAAGAAATACTATATACACTCATACGTACTTTACTTTGTACTTGTCTCTGTGAAAATGTCAACTAGTCATTTAATATCTGTGGTATTCAATTTATTTGAAAAATGGGAATGATGATATCCCAGTTAATAAGCTACCATAGCAGTTTCTCAGGCTTGGTCTGAAGCTATATGAAATACATTTTAAAGAGCAAAGCACTCTTAAAATTCAGATTTTATTATTCATATTAATAATATGATTAATTTAACAGTATTGCCCAGTTTTACAGTTGAGGCAATTGAAAGACATTCATTAAACTTTTCCAAGCTCATTGAGTCATACTGAGATAGAATACAGCCACAGCGTTTGAAGCAAAAGTGGTTCATACTGTGTCTGAACAATTTAGTAATGCCTTTGCTTGTTTAAGAGAAAGTGTTTTTCTAAATCTAAAATAATGGCTGATTGCACTTTCTTTATCAGCTGAGCAGCTGGGGGCGTTTGCCGCTGGAGTCAAGCAGATGCTGGAAGACGTTCAGGAGCGGCTTGTCTACCGAACCCACATCTACATTCAGACGGACATCACGGGCTATAAACCGGCTCCTGGAGATCTGGCCTATCCCGATAAGTTAGCCATGATGGAGGTAGGATCTCCTACTTGACCTCCCCTTTGCCCCACACGGCTTTTAGATGTTGTTATTATTTTTAAATTCATATATTAAAATAGAGGCAGGGTTTGCCTGTGTTGCCCAGGCTGGTCTCAAACTCCTGAGCGCAAGTGATCCACCTGCCTCCCAAGTGCAGGGATTATAGGCGTGAGCTATCCTGCCGAGGCTAGATGCTTTTTACTAGTTAAAATGGGATTTTTCTTTTTAATTATTCCTCAAAATGTAAAATCAAGATAAGCTTGCTCTAAAAATTGAAGGAGATAAAATTGAAAAGAATTAAACAGAAATAATTTGTTAGGTTGTCTTTCCTTCAAGTTATGTTTTATAAACATTCTATTCCATTCTTTTCCCTTTGGCAGGAAATACCCATTCTCAATTTTAAAATTTAATTAGTGATCTTTGTGATTTCTCTCTTTTGTTTGAATAAGTGGCATAGGAAAAGGTTGATAATGTGGGAGCCACCAGGTTGACGGTGATGATGTAACTGTGTGTCATGCTCGCTCATAAAAAGCCTGGAGGCCATCTCCTCAGAATTACACAGTACGAGTGTCCAGTTTATGGTTTGAAGACTTGGGTTTATCTTCCTGATCTTCCAGTTCCATATATATCTTCATTTTCTTTGAGTTCTAGACAGACTTTAAATAATCCCTAAAACATTAGTATTAAAACAGAATTAGAACATTTTTAATGGAAATTTTCAAATATAAGCCGAAGTAGAAACTGCAATATAATGAATTCTTAGGTACCATTACCTCAGCTTCAGTATGGCTAGACTTTTTGTACTCCCTTTCACCCCCCTTTAATTATTTTAAAGCAAATTCCAAACATGATTTCAATTAATAAATAATTCAGGCTGGGAATGGTGGCTCATGCCTGTAATCACAGCACTTTGGGAGGCTGAGGTGGGAGGATCACTTGATCTCAGGAGTTGAAGACCAGCCTGGGCAACATGGCAAGAAACCAACCCAATCTTTACTAAAAATACAAAAATTAGCCAGCCGTGGTGGTGTGCACCTGTGATCTCAGCTACTCAGGAAGCTGAGATGGGAAGATTGCTTGAACCCGGAAGTGGAGGTTTCAGGGAGCCGAGATCATGCCACTGCACTCCAGACTGGGTGACAGTGCCAGACCCCGTCTCAACAACAACAAAAAAGTGTGACCGCTGAAGCCTAAGCAGGATGGAATATAACTTCACGCTCCTGAAGGTTGTAGATTCTGGGTTACTCATTCTAGGTAGCAGAAAGCAATGAGCAAAGAAAATCAAGTCAAGAGGTTAAATAAGCAAAACAACAAAACAACAAAATTTTAAAAAAACCTTCAGTAGGTAACTCTAAAAGGTAAGGGCATTTTTATTTTTAACACACCGTAATATAATTTTTGCACTTAAAAACATTGTGGTTCCTTAAGATCAAGTATGCAGTTGAATCTAGAACTGATTTTTCAGATTCACTAGTTGTTAATATTTCATCGCATTTACTTTATCTGTCTGTGTGTGTTTTGCTGAGCCACTCGAAAGTGGCAGATGTCGTGACTCCTCATTCCTGAGTATTTCAGTTCTTATTTTCCCAGTTGTCCTTTAAATGTCTTTTTTTTTAGACATAGTTTCACTCTGTCACTTAGGCTGGAGTGCAGTGGCACAGTCTTGGCTCACTGAACCTCTGCCCCCCAGGTTCAAGTGATTCTCCCACCTCAGCCTCTCAAGTAGCTGGAATTACAGGCGCCCACCACCACGCCCAGCTAATTTTGTATTTTTAGTAGAGATGGGGTTTCACCATGTTGGCCATTCTGGTCTTCAACCCTTGAGATCAGCCTGAAGTGATCCGGCCACCTCAGCCCCCTAAGTGCTGGGATTATAGATGTGAGCCACTGCACCTGGCCCAGATGTCTTTTGTAATTGGACAAAAAATTTTAAAAAGTGGGATTCAGTCAAGGTTACCATGTTGCATTTGGATTTTATATACCTTAATATCCTTAATTCAGATCCAGACTCCTTCCCTTCCCCTTTGTTTTGTCTTTTGTTTTTCTGGCATTGACTTTTTCTCAAGGGACCAGCACAGTTTTACTGTAGAATGTGCCACGTTATGGATTTGTCTGATTGTTTTCTCTTGCTTAGATTCAAGTTAAACTTTTTTTTTCCCCCTCAAGAATATTGCATAGCTGATATGTGTTTCTTACTTCATTACATCAAAGGCAGATGATGTCAGCTTGTTCTGCTATTGGTTAAAGTGGGGATTGCTAGTTCTCTTCATTATAAAAGTATACAGCTTTTCTTTCTTTGCAATCAATAAGTAATTATAGGATGGTACTTTGAGATTATTTGAGTTCCCCCAAATCTTTCCAGTCAGTGATTTTAGCATCCATTCATGATTCTTGCCTGTACTAGTTATTACACTGGGGGGCAGTAAAATGGTGATTCTTCACATCTGCCATTTCTTCTACCTTTATAGCAGTCTGCTCTAAAGAATTAATTTCCCTTTCCTTCTTTATTCCTTTCTTTTCCCCACCCCTGCTTCATGTAGCACTGTAGACTAGTAGATTTTTTAAAGTCATTGTATTTTAATCTATTATCATCATTTTCTTTTCCTTTCCTTTTCTTTCTTCTCTCCCTCCTTTTTTTTTTTTTTGAGACAGGGTCTTACTCTGTTGCCCAGGCTGAAGTGCAGTGCCTTGACTTCCTGGGCCCAGGTGATCCTCCACCTCAGCCTCCCGAGTAGCTGGGATTACAGACATGTGCCACTATGCCTAGCTAATTTTCTATATTTTTTTGTAGAGATGGGGGCTCTCTGTGTTGTTCAGGCTGCTCTCAAACTTCTGGGCTCAAGTGATCTGTCCACCTTGGCCTCCCAAAGTGCTGGGATTATAGATGTGAGCCACAATGCCCAGCCATCATTATTCATTTCAATGCTCAAAATTGTCCCAAATTTGGATAGTGGTAGCCCCTTTACGCTGGCTCCTCTGTCCATTTGACTGTAGTCTCTTAGTACTTTTTTTTAACTGCTTTATGGAGTTTTATAGTTTTAGCTTTCATATTTAGGTCTTTAATCCATTTTGAGTTAATTTTTGTGATGTGATGTGAAATAGGGGTCCAATTTCTTTTTTTTTTTTTTGAGATGGAGTCTCACTCTGTCGCCCAGGCTGAAGAGCACTGGTGTGCTCTTGGCTTACTGCAACCTCTACATTCTGGGTTCAAGTGATTCTCCTGCCTCAGCCTCCCGAGTAGCTGGGATTACAGGTGCACGCCACCATACCCAGCTAATTTTTGTATCTTTAGTGGAGACTGGGTTTCACCATGTTGCTTAGGCTGGTCTTGAACTCCTGACCTTGTGATCCATGCACCTCGAACTTCCAAAGTGTTGGGATTACAAGCGTGAGCCAACTGCTTGGCCCATTCTTTTTTTTTTTTTTGAGATGGAGTCTCACTCTCTCACCAGGCTGGAGTGCAGTGGCGTGATCTCCGCCCACTGCAACCTCCGCCTCCTGGGTTCAAGTGATTCTTGTCCCTCAGCCTCCCAAGAATTTGAGATTACAGGCACCCATCACCATGCCCAGCTAATTTTTGTATTTTTAGTAGTGACAGCGTTTTACCATGTTGATCAGGATGGTCTCGATCTCTTGACCTCATGATCTGCCCACTTTGGCCTCCCAAAGTGCTGCGATAATAGGCGTGAGCCACTGCATCCTGCCAACCCTTGGTTTCTTAAGGGGAAAGAGGGTGGTATTTGAAACCAAGATCTGAGTGTTAGGTGTGCTCATTGCTAGTGGAGTATGTCATTACCCCTAAGCCCCTTTAAAGAGCTAGCAAATACACACTGTAAAAAATCATGAGTTCCTACCGAACCTCCAATTCAAATCCAGTTCCACAGGGTTCTTCCTTTTCCCATATCTCATATTTGTGTTTTCCAACTCACAGAAGAAACCCTGGCTCCCAGCACCTCTCACGTATATACTCATTTGCTTCAAGTTATAACGTACACAAAATAGTTTCAGAATTACAACACTAATGCCATGACTAATAGCAAACTCATTAAATTTAAGAATTTGGTACTTGTGTTGTTCTTAGAATGTATCCTACTAAGATATACAATCAGATTGATGTCAGACATTTGATTCTAAATACGGATTTGCGGGTTTCAAATCTCTTTAGAGATTTTGCCCATGTAAGCTTGCCATTTGCATGCATGGGGGAAATAGAAGAGTTGATAGACCTGGGTTCAAATCGTAGCCCAGTTAGTAGCTCTTTCTTATCCTTTATTAGTATGTTTAATTGTTTGTAGGACGGGCGTAATACTGACCCTGGAGGAGTATTGTACGAGGAAAGGTAATGACCAGAAAGCACTTGCGCTGGTAGTCACAGGGTAGACAGTGGCTGTCGTCATTTATTCGGCCCTCGAAGTATTTAAAAACCTAATATTTGACTTTTTAAAAATAGTTTTGGCTAAGCACAGCAGCTCATGCCTGTAATACTAGCACTTTGGGAGGCCAAGGTGGGCGAATTGCTTGAGTCTAGGATTTCAAGAGCAGCCTGGGCAACACAGTGAAACACCATTTCTACAAAAATTTCAAAAAATTGGCCAGGCATGGTGGCACAGGTGGGACTCAGGAGGCAGAGGTGGGAGGGTCTCCTGAGCCCGGGAGATAGAGAGGCTGGAGTGAGCTGTCACTGTGCTACTGCATGCCAGCCTGGGTGACAGACCCTACCTAAAAAATTATAATAAAAAGATTAGAGGCCTGGTTATTTTATTTGAAAAATTCCAAAGGTGATTTTGGTACTAGTGAATTTTAAAAAATGTCCCCGGAAATAATTTTGCTAAGTCATCATGTTTCTAACATACTGAAAAAATCTATAATTTTGAGAAGTCTATAAGCTATTAAAGTTTTAAAAGTGTAATCTAATTTTTACCGGGTTCATGTACTAATATTGCTTAGTTAGTTTATGTCAGGAGTGCTGTAGACCTAAATATCCGTGCAGAATAGACGAAAGGTCGTTTCTTTATAAGTGTGTCCCGTATTCATCGGTGTATCTTTTGTCACCAAGTGGTAGTCTGTGGTTAACGTTGTCAGATGTGGCTCAGATACTGTCCTGTTTCTAGTTAGACTGCTTGTCTTGGATGTCAAATGTCATAATTTCCTTTATTTTTATTTTTAAAATAGACTACATTTTAGGATAGTTTGAGATTCATAGAAAAACTGAGAAGGTAGTACAGAGTTTTTATGGACCCTGCACCCAGCTGCTCCTGTTACCGAGATCTTCTGTTGGTATGATACCTTTGCCACAGTTAATGAACCGGTAGTGACACTGGCATTTATTTACTGGGGTCCGTAGTTTATTCAGATTTTCTTCGTTTTTAATGTCTTTTCCTGCTGCTGGGTCCCATTTACAACAGCACATCACACTGAGTTTCCACGTCTTCTTAGGCGCCTCTTGTTGTGACGGTTTTTCAGATTTCCTTGTTTTTGATGACTTAGCAGTGTTGATAACTGCTTTATAATGTTGCCCTGAGTATTTCAAGCTTTCTATGGGAGGCCCCTTTGTTGGAATTCATCTGCTGTTATCCTTATGATTAGACTAGCGTTTTGGGTTTGGGGGAGGAAGAGCACAGTGGTGTAAAGTGCCATTGTTACTACATCGTATTAAGGGTGCAGCCTTTCAACATGAATGTTCACTGCTGACACTGAACTTGACCATCTGGCTGAAGTCGTGTTGCAGGTTTCGCCACCAGGTGGTCCTTCCTCTTCCCCACTTCCCACGCTGTGCTGTTTGGAAGGAGGTCCCGTGTGCAACCCTTGCTGAAGGGGGGGTTGTGCTCTACCATTTCTGAGGGCGAAGTATCTACATAAGTACTTGGAACTTTTCTGTAAGGGAGATTTGTCTCTTTTTCCAGTTTGTTGATTTAGTCCCTTACTGATCACTAAACTGTAGACTCGCAGATACTTACTCATACTTCGGGTTATAGTTCACTGGTGCTGTATTTTGCTGCTCCAGCTTTACCACTGGGAGCCCTTTCAGTTGGCTCCTGTGTCCTTTTGACATACTCATGTAGGTAGATTTTTTATTTTGAGAACTTCCTTACTTCCTGGCACTACAAGAACTTAAGGTGCATCGATACATCTCCTGCCTCTGTCCTAGAGAATCAACCATTTCTTCAAGGAGTGCTGGTTCCTTTATTGAAGGGTTGCATTAGAAACTGAGATCTGGACATTAGGCGTACTCTTGCTCCAAGAGCTCTCAGGTGACAGCAGAGAAATACATGTGTGTATACTAGATCATTCTGTTGTTCCGCATCCTCACCTGCATTTTGACTTAACCTAATTTATTTCAATGCCTAGATGGATAAATGTGTAATAATAGGTATGTTTGTTTTAAAGGTAATAGGCTGGAAATATGCCCTTACCTGTTTTAAGGATGTTCTCCTAAAATGACACCCTTTCCTCTGACTTCTGTTTAAATTCGTTGCACTTTGGCTAGTTATATTAATTATATGTTGTTACTTTAAATAATATGCAAAATCAACCTTGTAGGGATCAGATGCCCTTGTAGGGTGGGCAGTGGGGGCTGTTTCTTTTTGGTGGTCCATAGCAGGCATTATCTTTACATGTCTGGGTATTGCGGATAACAACAGGGAGAGAATAGGTGGTCTATTTGCAGGAGTTGCCTTGACCTTGAGGACCACAAAGGTATGATGAAGACTAGGTCTCTTTCTCAGCCTGATCCAGGGAATGGTGCTATCTCCTTTCACTCCCCTTGAGGCCTTCATTAGGGATATTAGTTTTCATATTATAGATAAGAATGCCTGTTTTAATTGTCATGTCTGATAGGAGGTTAGGCGATGAAGTTTTCTGTGTGCTCCCCTCCCAGCGTAATTTAGTGATATATCTAGTATGTTTATGCAGTCATCACATGGCTCCTATCCTGGGTACTCCTTTGTGTGGTCGGCCTTTTGGCTTAAGGGTAACCACTTGCAGTAAATATGCTTACTTTGTTTTTCTTTTGATGAGGGACTGGGGTATAAGAGTGGTCTGGCTTTGGCATCTGCGTACCATTTAGGGCTTAGCTGTACTTTCCAATTTCTGCACACAGAACAAGTGGACTGGCCTGGCTGGTAGGGAGTCTGTTTCCTAAGCAGTTCTCTGGCCATTAGAAATTTTTTTATTTTTTAATTTGAATGGTTTTTTGGGTACAGGTGGTTTTTGGATTACATGGATAAGTTCTTTAGTGGTAATTTCTGAGATTTTCGTGCACCTGTCATGCAAACAGTGCACACTGTACCCAGTAGACAGTTTTTATGCCTTACCCCTGTACTCAGTAGACAGTCTTTATGCCTTACCCCTGTACTCAGTAGACAGTCTTTATGCCTTACCCCTGTACCCAGTACACAGTCTTTATGCCTTACCCCTGTACCCAGTACACAGTCTTTATGCCTTACCCCTGTACCCAGTAGACAGTCTTTATGCCTTACCTCTGTATTCAGTTGACAGTCTTTATGCCTTACCCCTGTACTCAGTAGACAGTCTTTATGCCTTACCCCCGTACTCAGTAGACAGTCTTTATGCCTTACCCCTGTACCCAGTAGACAGTCTTTATGCCTTACCCCTGTACCCAGTAGACAGTCTTTATGCCTTACCCCTGTACTCAGTACACAGTCTTTATGCCTTACCCCTGTACTCAGTACACAGTCTTTATGCCTTACCCCTGTACTCAGTAGACAGTCTTTATGCCTTACCCCTGTACCCAGTACACAGTCTTTATGCCTTACCCCTGTACCCAGTACACAGTCTTTATGCCTTACCCGCCTCCCAGTTTTGCCCCTGAATTCCCAACGCTCATTGTCTCATTTTTGTGACTGGCTATTCCTTTTGACAATAACTAGATGACTGTTAGGTCTTCATTTCTGCATATTTCCACATTTATAATTAATGTAAATTAGTGGGATTTTCATTACTAATTTAGTAGTTGGTGTCCTTTGTATACTGCACGATATTCTTCAGTCAGGGAGTCCGTGCTAATTTTGTAAAAAAATCTGTTTCAAAAATAGCATACTGAGCTGTTATCACATAAAGAAAAAGCTTGTTATTTGGATTGGCCAGTTAGTTGAACAAAAGCATGTCTGCTACTCAGAATGTATCCAGTCTTAAATCTGAATACTTCCTTTCCAAATGTTAAGTTGAAAAAAATATATATGTATTTTTACTTTGTATAAAGAACACGTTCATGTTGCCGAGCAGTGCTGAAAATGATACTGTTCCTTCTGATTTCTCTGTACAGCAAATTGCACAGAGTTTGAAAGATGAGCAGAAGAAGGTACCTTCGGAAGCTTCATTTTCAGATGTTCAGTTAGAAGAAGGAGGGTCTAATAGTCTGACAAAATCCGGTATGTTATGATGTCTTAACTAGCAGCGTTTATTCCTTTGGGTTGATGACCCTTTACTGAGGACTTGTCCTATCCCAGGCATGAAAAACAACCTGTGCCTTTGAGGAGCCAACCCTTTATGAGGGGAGATTGGAATTCAGTGGTGAGTGAGATGCTAATGGGATTGCACAGGGTGCTCTTGGACCATGGATGAGGGTCATGGAAATTACGAAGGGAGGCGAGCTCTTGAGGGCAGCAAGGTGGGCTCAGGGTGAGGTGTGGCATCTGAGAGCTGTAGTGTGTTTATGAAAGAGCCAGGTGAGTTAAGGCTGTTTAAGATAGGTGGACTAGAAGGTAGAAAGGCATGCAGGAATGGAAAACCATGGCTGTTTTGGGTAATTCAAGTGGTTTGGTCTGTTTGGGCCCAGGTTGTATGTGGGGAAGGAGCAGTTGAAATAGGCCAGATTGGCATAGATGTCATGTGATAGTCTCATGGCCTCGGGACTTCTAGCTGGCATGGTGTACGTGGCAAGTGGACCGTCAGATTTGCATTTTGTAAACGTATTGTCTGGAACTTGAGTGAAATATTGACACCGTTGCGCGGGATACCTTGGACTAGGGTGAATGTTATGCAGGGAGCACAACTGTCCCAAGAATAACCTTGGCTACTCGTTAGGGACCTAGACAGCAAGCCAGATGGAAAGTAAGCCATCCCCTCCGCACCCAGCTATACGAGTGGCTCTAAAGCTCAGCTCCCCATGGGATAACTGGGAAGGTGGGTGCTGTAACTCCGTGGGCTTGAAAGGGCCCCAGCTGCCTCAAGGTCCCCAGGGGAAGGGCATCATCAGATGTTCTGAGTCTACTCTATAAACAGCTGCTATACCAAATGCAGACTGCCAAGTGGCTGGATATCGCCCATCTGACAGAGCCATCTTATCACACCCCCCGTTGGGGGGAGGACTCCCAGAGGGCTGAAATTTCCTCCTGTGCAGTAGAACCCATGCCATGTCCCAGGATACCTCTTGGTACTGGAGTGACGAGAGTACGTTTCTGTCTTGCCAAACCCGGCCTTGTGCGGTTTCTCTTTCCCCACTAAAGCCTACTTTTTAACCAATTACTGGCATTACAATGAGGCCTTATTGGCAGAACCGTTGAGACTGATGAGGAAGTCGTTATATTTTTCCATTTGAAAGATAAAGGTGGTTTGAACCAGGGTGTTATTGGGGGGATGGAGAGAAATACAGAGATGAGGGATATGGTTAGAAGTTTGAATGAGTAGAATTTGATGGCACAAATTTCAGATGTGAGGGTTGAGTGAGGTCCATGTGGAACAACTGAGAGGGTCTGTGTGAGATGGTTCTAGAAGCTTTACTGTCCAATATGGTAGCTCCCACCACTGGGCATGGGAAATGTGCCTAGTCTGAATAATGTGCTGTAATCGTGTAAGATTCACACCAGATTTCCAAGACTTAGTATGATATAGGGAATGGAAAACAGCCTGGGTGCAGTGGCTCATTCCTGTAATCCCAGCACTTTGGGAGGCCGAGGTGGGCAGATCACCTAAGGTTAGGAGTTCAAGACCGTCCTGGCCAATATAGCAAAACCCCATCTCTACTGAAAATACCAAAGTTAGCTGGACATGGTGGCATGTGCCTGTAATCCCAGCTACTTGGGAAGCTGAGGCAGGAGAATCTCTTGAACCCAGGAGGTGGAGGTTGCCATGAGCCAAGATCGTGCCACTGCACTCCAGTCTAGGTGACAGAGCGAGATTCTGTCTCAGAAAAATTAAAAAAAAAATGGAAAATTTGTTCTTCGTCATTTTTATATTGATTACATGTTAAAATGATATTTTGGACATACTGGATTGAATAAAATATACTAAAATTAACCCTTCTTCTTCTTCTTCTTTTTGTTTTTGAGAGAGCCTCACTCTGTTGCCCAGGCTGGAGTAGAGTGGTGCAATCTCAGCTAACTGCAACCTCTGCCTCCTCAGTTCAAGCAAGTCTCCTGCCTCAGTTTCCCAAGTAGCTGGGACTACAGGCGTGTGCCACCATGCCCAGCTAATTTTTGTGTTTTTTAGTAGAGATGGGGTTTCACTATATGTTGACCAGGCTGGTCTCGAACTCCTGACCTCAGGTGATCCTGAGTCAGTGCAGTGTTGGGATTACAGGTGTGAACCACTGTGCCTGGCCATTCCTGCTTTCTTTTTCTTTCAAAGAGATGAGGTATCACTATGTTGCCCAGGCTGGTTTTGAACTCCTGTGCTCAAGCAGTCCTCCTGTTTTGGCTTCCCAAAGTGCTGGGATTACAGGCATGGGACACCATGCCTAGCCTTTTTATTTATTTATTTTTGAGACAGTCTCACTCTGTCACAAGGCTGGAGTGCAGTGGTATGATGTTTGCTCACTGTAACCTCCACCTCCTGGGTTCAAGTGATTTTCCTGCCTCAACCTCCCAAGTAGCTGGGACTATAGGCCCACACTACCACGCCCAGCTAATTTTTGTATTTTTAGTAGAGACGGGGTTTCACCATGTTGGCCAGCCTAATCTTGAACTCCTGACCTTGTGATCTGCCTGCCTCAGCCTCCCAAAGTGCTGGGATTACAGGTGTGAGCCACCGCACCCGGCCTTTTTTTTTTTTTTTTTTTAATAGACAAAGAGTCTCGCTATGTTGCCCAAGATGGGTCTTGAACTCCTGGCCTCAAGTGGTCCTCCCACCGTGGCCTCCCAGAGTGCTAGAATTACAGACATGAGCCGCTGTGCTTGGCCTCTTTTTACTTTTTATTTTGAAGACAGGGTCTGGTTCTGTCGGGCAGGCTGGAGTGCAGTGGTGCGATATTGGCTTACTGCAACCTCTGCCTCCCACGTCAGCCTCCCACGTAGCCTATGCCATCATGCCTGGCTAATTTTTTTTACTTTTTAAAATGTGATGTTTTCCTGTGTTACATTTATGATTCACATTATAGTTCTATTGGACAGCACTGCTCTAGAGCTGTAAAGAGAAAGATTGGTTTAGAATTTAAGGATGAGGAGAGTTGGTGCTTTGGGCTTACGTAAGATCATCCTGGGACTGTAGCAGAAGTCTTGGGAGGGAAACTGAGCCAAGTTTAAGGAGCAAATGGAGATAGAGGAGTCAACTGAGCCCACCAAGAAAGAACAGCCAGCAAGGTCAGGGGTGGGCAAGTGAGAGTATGGCTGATATCAGAGGAGGAGGGGTTTGCAGTGTAGTTTGCATAAACAGGTGAGAAGACCAAAATCTTGAGAACAAAGTGACGTGCTAAGTTTTAGAATTTGAGGGCGGAATAGCTGAGAGGAGAAGAAAGTCCGTAGAAAGCAGTAAGAATGCAGTTCCGCCAGTACTCGGAAAATCTGCCTCTAGGGTAGAGGTGTGAGGATGGAGGTGAAAGTCTTTGGAGTTGAGGAGGATGAACAGCCCATCATCATGCAGTTATCCGTGCTGTCACAGTGTGCTAGAACTTGGTGTGGAAAGCAAGGCTCCGAATCAGGTAGGAAGTGGAGCAGAAACAAAAAGAGTATGTCTTCACTTTTCCTGGTTCTGAGATACGTTGGAAGTGAGAGAATGAGGAGCCTCTGTAAGGAGGGCTTTAGTTGATGAGGTGTTCGTGGCATAGAAGGAGGTGTCGTCAGGGCAAACTGGTGGAGGGACCATCTTGTGAAGAGACCAGTTACCACCACCTTCAGAAAGCACAGCTGTATTCTGTATGTAGAGCAAGGGAGTGGGAAGAGAGGCCCACAGAGGACAGTGGAGGCAGCCGTGCAGGAGGCTGTGGGGGAAGCCCCGGTCCCGGGCTTGCTCTGCTCCTTGAAAGAGGCAGCAGGAGGCACTCACCTGCCGTTTGTTGCTTTACTTTGGCCAACAACTTAGTTACACGGGAAAGGGGAAGAAATGAACACAAGCTGGACTTCTGGCTCTAAAGTACTTAAACACATTTGTTTGACTAAACTTTTATTTGGGGGAATTCTTTTGGCACTTTATTTTGAAGAAGGGATTCTGGAGATGGCATATTCCTTAGGCAAACTATATTTCATTTCCTAATATTCTTCGATGTAATTTGTTTATTCTTTTTTTTAAAGAAACTTCATACAAATTAGACATTAGTTTAAAATGAGCTCTCATGGAAGATATTTAAAAGTTATACAAGTTGAATAGGAGTGGTGAGAGAAAAGGGAAAGATTAAGTATTACTTGTTTTTGGAAAAAAGCTTACAAAACTGTAAGGTGAAAGCACTGGCTAGTGCCTTGGGTTGAACATATGTATATGAAGCTGGAATGTACATATGTACATGTTCATATGTGTACCTACGTATACATTCTCACTTACTGTGTTAAATCTCACCTGTCACTGATTTAGATTTCTTATGGTATTCTTGATGAGAGCTGAGGCCCTCTAGCTATGGACAGCTAACAAGAATAAACAGTTATGGTTGCCCTGTAAATTATTGTAAGCGTATATGTGAAACACCCACAGGTGTGAAATGTGTCTTCTTTTCCATTTGGGTCTTAGGTTCAACAGAGTCCCTCAATCCTAGACCACACACCACAATTTCTCCAGCGGATCTTCATGGAATGTGGTATCCTACGGTTCGAAGAACTCTTGTCTGTCTCTCCAAATTATACAGATGCATAGATGTATGTGTATCTTTATTGTAAATTGCTTGCTCTTTCACTTGAAATATTTTTTAATTTACATTTTAAGATCTTGATGAAGTATTTTTTTGGCTAGTCTTAAAATCATGATTTTTAGATATAGAAGTAACTTGAAGGTCAGGCTAATTTAGGAATTTCCAACCTGAGCTTTCTATGGAACTTTAGAATTTAGTACTGGGCTTTGGGGAGTCTATGGACATCTCAAAATTGTGGGCAAATTTTGCATGACTGTTTTATATGTGCATTTCTGAGGAAAAGATCTTTAGCATTCATTGATTCTTAAAGGAGTTCACAACCACAACTAAGTTTAAAACAACTGATTGGCCGGGCGCGGTGGCTCAAGCCTGTAATCCCAGCACTTTGGGAGGCCGAGGCGGGTGGATCACGAGGTCAAGAGATCAAGACCGTCCTGGTCAAAATGGTGAAACCCCGTCTCTACCAAAAATACAAAAAATTAGCTGGGCGTGGTGGCGCGTGCCTGTAATCCCAGCTACTCGGGAGGCTGAGGCAGGAGAATTGCCTGAACCCAGGAGGCGGAGGTTGCGGTGAGCCGAGATCGCGCCATTGCACTCCAGCCTGGGTAACAAGAGCGAAACTCCGTCTCAAAAAAAAAAAAAAAAAAAAAAAACAACTGATTAATTTGCCTGCCTTAGTTTATAGATGAAGACAGAGATATAGAAAGGTTAAGTGAACATCAGTGTCACATGGGATAGTATACATTTAGTATTAGATTTTTTATTTTTTTGAGACAGAGTCTTGCTCTGTTGCCCAGGCTGGAGTGCAATGGTGCGATCTTGGCTCACTGCAACCTCACCTCCTGGGTTCAAGAGATTCTCCCACCTTAGCATCCTGAGTAGCTGGGGTTACAGGCACCCACCAGCAGTCCCAGTTAATTTTTGTATTTTTAGTAGAGATGGGGTTTCACGATGTTGGCCAGGCTGGTCTCGAACTCCTGACCTCAGGTGTTCCACCCACCTTGGCCTCCCAAAGTGCTGGGATTACAGGTGTGAGCCACCAGGCCTGGCCTATTAATTAAGTTTAGTATTAATTGTTTTGCACTCAGTTTCAATCCACATCCCTAACAAGGAGTATTAAGGTGACATGTATTTCTAACCAGGGACTTAGTAATTCACTAAAGTTAGCAGTTACCTTTTTAAAGTTCAAGCACCAGCTTAGACTACTGTACACTGATTTCAGAGGACAGAGTTATTTTAAGCATTCCAGTTTAATGATATGATGGTCATTCTCTGCAACATCGGATTGGCTGTGAGTGATTTGTTGCTAAACCAATATATTTTATAAAATATGGTGGTTTTAATTCATTTGATTTATTAATTTGATTAAGTATAGCAGTCATGTAATGAATTGTCTAGATGCCACTATTTCTTAAGGATATAGTTCAAAACAGTATGCATTTACCCTTATACCACAGAGTCCTAGGGCTGCACAGTTGTTTCATTGGGGTCAGTAGATTCTACACTTCTCTTTATTTAAGTTAAAATGCATAATTGCTGGGCTTTGTGCTTATAGATTTTGAAATGCTACCAAAAGTGCCTTTTGCCCAGTTCTGGGACTTTTAAAGATGGGCCCAGATCACCTCTACAGACTTAGATGCCTCAGCCTTTTTACCCAGCTGATGAGATCTCTTCCAGAGAGAGGTTTGGACACTTGGCATCTCTTCCTCCCCAGGCTGTCCTTTAGGTTTGTTGAATAATAATATTAGGCTGAGATTCAGCAACTTCTTGCAGTGGAGACAGGACCCCAAGGAAAATACACAGGAGGCATATTCCACATAGAACCCATTGTCACCACAGACACTAGTAAATAAAGCCTCTTAGGGTGCTTAAGGGGGATTTTAACTAAATATTAGGTAGGCCTGAGGAGGTCACTGCCAGTTTGGTTTTATGCCTTAGCCTTGCTTATTCTTTTTTCACCTAGCTTCTATTCAAATCTCAACACTTTCAGTCTTACCGATGAAAGGTGAGGAAAGATAATCCAGTGTAAGATACAGTGAGGCTGAGCAGAAGGCGAGGGTCTTGGTCTCAGCTGCCCATCTTAAGCTTCCCTAGGCAGGGTTCGTGACCCAGCAGGTGGCAGCTCTAATCTCTCCTTCCTGCATAGCCTTGTGGGAAACCACAGAGTGGGGAGAAGCAAAGTAAAGACAGAATAACAGCAAGTTGGAGCCCACGGCCCAGAACAGGGGCCTAATAATGACCAGGCTCATATCCATCCACCTCAGGTGGAATGGAGGCAGGGAGGGAAGCAAGGAGACTAACCACCGTCCTGCACCTCAGGGAAGATTATAATGGCAGAATTAAAGTAAGACTCATGCTGCACATACCATTTTGTAACCTGGTTTTTTTTTTTTTTTTAACTCTATTTTATAAGAACTTCAGTGCCTCCTTCAGCATTCTTTGATTTCGTAAACAGTATTCTATAATTTAGATTTAGTAGTATTTTGTCAGTCCCCTGTCATTGAACATTTATGTAACATAAATAATACTGTAATGAAGAGCCATGTACATGCTGATGTATTTTTAGAAGTGGATTTACTGAAGGTTTGTTTTAAAGTTGGTCTTAGAGACTGAAAAAACAGCCCCACATGCGATCATGTTGGAGTGAGGGCTCCATGAGGTCAGAACCATGCCTGCCTCTATTTCTAGCATCTAGCTCAGTGCCTAGCATGTAATCAGTATTTATTGATGGGTCACATGAGTGTCTCCAGAGATGACTGCATGTTACCGATCTTCGTGTCGGTCTAGAAAGGTTGCGTGGGGTCTACGGCCATACCGCCCTGAACGCGCCCGATCTCGTCGGAAAGGTTGCATGGGAATAGGGGTCGGGAAGAACAGCTCCAGCAGTAAATCGCTGCACCCTAGGATTTTCCTGTTTTTGTCAAGTGCCACGGGCTGATTATTCTCTTTTGTTCCACCAGAGGGCAGTGTTCCAAGGATTGTCCCAGGAAGCCTTGTCTGCCTGCATTCAGTCCTTACTGGGAGCGTCAGAGTCAATCAGCAAAAACAAGGTTTGATGAAGCGTTAGGGGAAATCCTGTTTCCTGGTAAAATCCTGGGGAATACAGCATTTACTTATAGGCACAGACATGTAGAGCTCTTTGGGCAGCAGGGTTTGTTTGTTTAACATGATTGAATTTTGCAGCTCTTTGAGAGAAGCTAGTGATTCATCATACTGCTAAATAAAGACTGTACTATATAGGAGAGTCCAGCTTTGCTAAAGGACCACAAGTGGTACTTAGGTCACACATTCTACAGGGTAGAGATTTCCTCTTGTAGCCCTAGCCACTGGGGAAAGGTACCATTTTCCTGCAATACCAAGAAAGCATTTTCAAGGAAACATCATAATTTATAATCATCTCTACGATAATGTTTTAAATAGCTGAATGTTCTTACACGGAGGAAATGAGTCAGTCAGTTTTGAGGACAGGTAATGGTGGCTCTGGGTTGTGTGACTGGAAGGAGATACCGTGACTGTGTGGCGTATAGTTTTGTTTGTTTGTTTTTGAGACAGGGTCTTGCTCTGTCTCCAGGCTGGAGTGCAGTGGTGTGATCCTGGATTGCTGCAGCCTCCATCTCCTGAGCTCAATCCACCCTCCTACCTCAGCCTTCCAAGGACTTGGGACTACGGGCATGCACCTTCATGCCCTGGCCAAGTTTTTTATTTTTTGTAGAGACAGGATTTTGCCTTGTCGCTCAGGCTGGTCTCAAACTCCTGGCCTGAAGTCATCTGCCCACCTCGACCTCCCAGAATGCTGGAATCACAGGTGTGGTGAGCCACTCGCCCAGCCTTTTTTTTTTTTTTTTTTTTTTTGAGAGAGGGTCTTATTCTGTCACCTAAGCTGGAGTGCAGTGGTGTGATCTCTGTTCACTGCAGCCTCAACCTCCTGGGCTGAAGCATTCCTCCTGCTTCGGCTTCCTGCACTGCAGGACTATAGGCACCTGGCTCAACTTTTTATTTTTACTTTTTGTAGAGACGGGAACTCACCCTCTTGCCCAGGCTGGTCTCAGATTCCTAGGCTCAAATGATCCTCTTGACTCAGCCTTCCAGAGTACTGGGAATACAGGTGTTAGCGATTGTGCTCAGCAGTTTACAGGTTTTAATCCAGAAGGGGTCTGGGCTGAAGGCTGCTGACATGTGCTTCTCCCATAGCCCCTGAGATTTTCTTTTTTTCAGGAGGTAGAGCATGTTCAAAAGTGTTGCTCTGCTTAACTCTCCTATTAAAATATCTGCCACCTATCGGGAGGTAGCTGTGGGGGCTGTTTCCAGCCAAAATTGTCTTCCCACCTGGAGTGTTCAAATCGTGTGAACTTTTTTGACTTACAGATTTGTAAATGTGACTTTTAAGTTCAAGGCTTTAGATAAATTGTGTATACACACACACACACACATCACCACAAAATCATTTGGGATCTTGGGATCTTGCTGCTAGGAAAGCTCTACCTTTGTGATCACTGTTTTTCTCATTCATGAAATGAAGAGGTGAAATTTCACATGGGACTGGAAATAAAGTTATAGACAGGCAGATTTAAGTTTTAACAGGTATTTTCAAGTCTGTGCCCACACATTTTGATAATAGATGAAATTAGAACACGCATGTCTAACATTAAGGAAAAATTGTGGCATGTTTTATATAACAGAATATTACACAGTCATTAAATTTTTAAAAATGAAACAATAAAATTTAACTTAAACATATTAAGGCAATAGAAATTCAAGATGCAAATCAGATATATGATGTGACCGTGTAATAAAATGCATTGAAGAAAATATGTAGCAGTGAAATCTTTTAGGTGACCATGGGTGATTTTTTCTCTCATTTCCTGCACATTTCTTCATTTTCCACAGATCATCAGGAAAGAAAAAATGACCTAATTTTTAAAAAGTTCATAGGCTTATATCTTCTTGTACCACTGTCCCCCTTTTTTTTTTAAAGGCAGAATCTCACTCTGTCACCCAGGCTGGAGTGAGGTGGCATGATCTTGGCTCACTGCAACCTACATCCGTTTCCCGGGTTCAAGCCATTCTTGTGCCTCAGCTGCCCAAGTAGCTGGGATTACAGGCGTGTGCTACCATTCCCAGCTGATATTTGTATTTTTAATAGAGACAGGATTTCACCATGTTGGCCAGGCTGGTCTTGAATGCCTGACCTCACGTGATCCACCCACCTCGGCCTCCTAAAATGTTAGGATTACAGGCGTGAGCCACTAAACCCAGCCATGTTCTCTTTTAAGGGAGGCATGAAAAGCCTTTTGATCTTTGGTCTTTTGCCTTCACTAGCTGTAGCCCATCCTCTTTTGTCTCATTCTATTTCCTACCTGTCATAAGAGGTGGGAAGCTCTCAATTTGTTAAGACACCAGCTGTTATTCTCATGTTGACTTTGTGTACTTTTACCTTAAAAAGTGATCAGTGAAAATGGATTAGTGTCTTAAAGAGTTTTTTAAGGCAAGAAATTATTCTTACATAAACTGAGTACCTGTCTACAAGTTAACATGATACTATATGCTGGCTTACAATAGCTTTAGTAAAGTAAGTAAAATCTATATGATACTATTTTTGGCATCAGAGTTGTTATGTCTTCTAAAAATAGAGCAAATATTTAAAATATGTAGCATTTCCTACTTACCTGGTGCTCCGTGTGGCAGGATGCAAAGTGAGTTTCCATTACCTAAGTCATTGATTATGTTTATTAAAATGGGTGGAGAGAGAGCGAGAGACTGGGGAGGAATCTTCATTTATTAACTCCTTTAAAATGATATTGCTTACTGAAAGTTAACTTTATCTTTTCCTGAGGTAATATGAAAATTTCATTAGCAATATTTTCAAAATGAGATGCTGCCTTGAGGAACAGCAAGAAGGAGCAAATACAGCCTTGCTCTTATTAATACACAGCCTCTTTTCTGAAAGGAGAGCTACGATTATTCAGTATTTGAGGACTGAGCCAGAGGTTTGAGAACTGAGCTTGAATCCCAAGGCTCTTGTGGATGGGTCCTGAGAGGGCACAAGGACATGCCGGACTCTCAGGGATGTGGGTAGTCAGAGCTGTGTTGGTGGCAGGAGGATCCAAAATGGCAACCCCAAGTCATTTTACATTTGTGTAAATATAGGTGTGTGTTATGTTCTAGATACTGATCAAATAGTGAGAGCCATGTTCCTGAGGAGAAGCTAGAAAGCCAGGCCAGGTTAGGATCGAGCTTATTCCTTGAGCCTTTCTTTACCTCTTCTGCTCTGGGCCGCTCTCAGGCTGCCTCGTCTTTTCTACTTCTGCACCAGGTGAAAGCAGATTGGACTTCTCTTTCTAAACATGTTGCTTTACAGCCTTGTGTCTGACTTTCTTGGATTTTTAAAGTAGAGCGAGCGACAATGCCAATAAGAGTTTGAAGCTGGTTGGGTGTGATGGCTCATGCCTGTAATCCCAGCACTTTGGGAGTCTAAGGCAGGTAGATCACCTGGGGTTGGGAGTTCGAGACCAGCCTGACCAACATGGAGAAACCCTGTCTCTACTAAAAATACAAAAATTAGCCGGGCATGGTGGAGCATTCCTGTAATCCAAGCTACGTGGGAGGCTGAGGCAGAGAATTGCTTGAAGCTGGGTGGTCGAGGCTGCAGTGAGCTGAGATCATGCCATTGCACTCCAGCCCCGGCAACAAGAGGGAAACTCAAAACTCAGTCTCCAAAAAAAAGAGTTTGAAGGAAGATTTTTTTTTTTTAACTTAATTCTAGCATGGGGAGAGTTCATGGCACAACAAAAGGGAATTGACACCATAAAGCCATAAATGTGGGTAGATTACTGCTGACAAATAATGTATGCCTTATGTGCTCCTATTTTGATTTAATCTGTGATCATATCCATTTTTCTGTCTTATGATTTAGACTCAAATTGATGGACAACTTTTCTTAATTAAGCACCTTTTGATACTTCGTGAACAAATTGCTCCATTTCACACTGAATTCACCATTAAGGAAATTTCCCTGGACCTCAAGAAAACTAGAGGTACTTTGCTGTCCTGGCTGGCACACTCGGGCGTGTTTGCTCTGTCCAGATGTGTCAGCACAGGTTTTAGGTTTATTTTATGTTCATCTGCAATTTTTGCATGCTTTACTTGCTAAATATGTTACTTGTTCATACTACGCTGATCTGTCACCATCCTGATGACTTCTGACTTGCTGTATTTTCTTTATAAGGGGAACTGTATCTGGACATTTCAGTAATATTAGACTCTTTTACACTTTGCCACATTTCCTACAACCAGTTAAAATGTGAAAAATCAGTATAATAACTGCTTCCTAATAAGTGAGTAGTGTCAGCTAGTTGGGGTGATTTTAAGCGCTGAGTTGAGTTTGTCAGTTTATGAAAATTCAGGAAGTCAGCTGGGTAAAATAAGAAGAGTACTTGTCTAAGAATTTGAAAGAATTGGGTCTTGTTCCTGTCCCATCATTTCCTGGCCCTTGCATAATTTTGGGTGGGTGTTTCAGCTTCCCTACCCCACCTTCCTTTTGGGTAAAATGAGCATGATCAACTTGTCATGATACCTTCCTGAGGTTATCAAGGTCATTAAGACCGAAAATGAATGAAAACATATGTTCATGTCTTTCTAAGTTTCAGGCGCTTCATCATACTCCAGTGGTACTGAATCCGTAATCATGTAAGATGCGGTCTTTGAGCTGGAAATAGATACTAAATCATTTTGAGAAAGATGATTCATCCAGCCTAATGATTTGTCCCTGAGTTAGTAAGAGATGATTTTTAAAAGATCAAAGTAGCTATTGTCTAAGAGATTGATCGTAAGCGGTTAAAAACACCCCCGTGTCCCTTAATTACTTACAAATTTATGTAAACTTTACCTTAAACATTTCTAAGAGATTTATGCTCTGATGCCTTAAGCCATTCATTTATGTGATCAGTTAACCTCTCTTGAATGTTTTGGGGCAATTAAAAAAAAACCGGTCACTCAAATGATTTTCTACGTGTTCTGGTTTAGAGGAACCCAAAATATATGATTTTCAAGAATGACGGGTTTTAGTTCCCCAGTTGCTGTGCTTACCTGACAGTGGATTTGATTTCCCTCACCTGAGCCAGTGTGCCCTCATGGTGATTCCCCTTAAGCAGTCTGCTCTTTCTTATTCCCTGTCACTGTGTCTTGTCCCCCACGGAGAACGTATTTTGGTTCTGTAAAGTCTGTGTATGTGCTTTGTGATCCTTTAATTTTTGAATTTTTAAAATTTTTTTTCTCTGATCTTGGAAGTAGCATACCATTTGTTTTTGTTTTGTTTTGTTTTTATAAACAGGAGCCAGATTTCGTGGCTTTTGCCTTTATAGAACACATAGTTTTTTTTAAAGCTTATTCTCATCAGAGGCTTCCATCTCCCACCCATTCTGGTTATTTCATTCCTTTCTTTCAGTGTGAGGTGTGGGAATCGTGCTCTTACACCTTGAAGAATTCCCAGCTGCTGACAGTTCTCACTTTAAGTGATGGGAGGGAGCAGGGTTGATTTACTTTCTTTCATTTTTTTCTAATTTGTAATTTGTTGCTGCTTGGTTTTAGTGTAGATCAACTGAGGTGAAAGAAAGTGAAATATCTTGAGATTGTGGCAAAATTTGGTTGAAAGTGTTTTCCTACAAATCCTGCAAAGGCTGTGTAACCCTACCATTTTATTCTGTTTAGTGCGGACGGAATCTTTGAGGGGTCTTACAGGAAAGGTAGCAGACACAAAGCACCATTTACTAAATGTTTACTCTGAGTACTGAGCTGATAGAGGGAGGTCCTTGTTCTTTACCCCAGGCCAAGGCAGTAGGTATTACGGGAGCGTGTGCTTGCAAAACCAGGGCTGGAAGATTTCATGCTTTGCTCTATCTAGTCTGGCAAAGTAAAGACGTGCTTTTTCTTAATCACTTAATAATACTTGCTCTCTTTGCTTTCACGCCTCTAACCTCTCAAGACTAACGTTATATCATATTGCATTTGAACATCAATGAGACCTCGGCTAATACTTCGCATAGATTCTAGTTAGTCTGGAGGTTAAGGGGTAAATATGTCCTTTTGGTGTTTTCTTCTTGGCTGACACATTAGTTTATTTATTCTACTTCAAATGAATAAATTTCTGTGCCAGCCAGCTTTTAACAAAGAAGCTGGGTAAGTATACGAGTCTTTTTTAAAAACCTATTTAACATCCTAAAAGGAAAGCAGTGACATTTTAAGGTACCGATTACCATTTATCATTTTTCTTTTGGTAAGTGAATAATTGAGATGGATAGTCATTTTGCAATTCGAACTTCTAGAAAATAACTCTGTGAGTACTGTAGCCATCACTGGTGCTCATCTCACCCTCAGCCTTCCATGGAGGTGAGTTGGTGAAGGTGAATTGGCTTTTTGCCTTGTGGAGAACTGGTGTGTCTGACATGTGGCTTTACTGTTGAAACTGTACATGTTCACTGGATGAGTAATTTTGTTTCACAGATGCGGCATTTAAAATCCTGAACCCTATGACTGTTCCAAGATTTTTTAGGCTGAATAGCAACAATGCCTTGATAGAGTTCTTGTTGGAGGTGAGAAGTGGGAGATAAACAACATTCTTTACATGTCTGATAATTTCTAGGCACATAAAAACAGGAAGAAATTGTTATCTTCTTTTTAAGGGAACCCCTGAGATAAGAGAACATTATCTTGACTCTAAAAAAGACGTAGACCGTCATCTGAAATCAGCCTGTGAGCAGTTTATTCAGCAGCAGACCAAGCTGTTTGTGGAGCAGCTGGAGGAGTTCATGACGAAGGTATAGACCATGGTGCCTATTGGAAAGTCACTTTGCATCTTCCCTGGGTTTCCTGTTGAATTACCTCTTGTGTAAACTCTGGCAGAGGAGATGGTGAGCCCAAGTCTTAATGATTCTGTCTAGGAAATCACTGTGCTCCCCATTATGGATGCTGTTTGGTTTATGGACTTTCAGATACACTTGCACGGTTTTTGTTTTAAGAGGAAGAGTGGAAATACTGCAAAGCTAGTTATGGCTGACTCCTGGTTAGCTGTGTTCTGTTTACCCACCTTGTCGGTTATCTGCATGTGGGCTGGGAGTCCCACTTTGTTCTGGAATCTCACCTTCTCCTGGACCTGCATGTCAACAGCCAGAGTCCTGGGTACCAGGGTTTCCTGTTCCTAAAATGGGTGGCTTATTTTCCCCCTTGTTTTACATGCTATTCCTCTCTTCCGTTTTGTATGGAGAATTGAGAATTGAAGAGTTTATATCAGAGCATCGTTAGCCGCCGGATAGATGGATTAATTGTACAGTTAGTCCTCTTTAACTTTGCTAGTCGCTTCCTGGAAACTGTGACTTTAAGTGAAAAAGCATAAAATGAAACCAGTTTTTTTTCCTCATCAACAGTATAAGGAAACAACGTTGAACCGTGCAAGGAGACAACTTTGAGGACATGCTATGCATCATATCCCTTAAAGTCACAGTTTTCAGGGACCTATTGCTGATTTTCAGTTAGGACTGACTGTACGTGTGGATGGTATATTCTTTCTGACTCTGTCTTCTAAGCTAAAATCCATCAACTGGCGAATGCCAGCAAAGAGAAAAGCAGATCATGGCTATTTTCACATTCTTGCTTCAACCTACTCATTTTTTAAAAATTTAAGTATCATCACCAAGGACTTAAAGATTTTTATTTTTTAATCTTCACATTTTTTACTTTTTGAGACGGAGTCTCTAGTGCCCAGGCTCGAGCACAGTGGTGCGATCTTGGCTCACTGCAACCTCTGCCTCCCGGTTCAAGTGATTCTCCTGCCTCAGCCTCCCAAGTAGCTGGGACTAATTTTTGTATTTTCACTAGAGACGGGATTTCACCATGTTGGTCAGGCTAGTCTTGAACTCCTGACCTTATATGATCTGCCCGCCTTGGCCTCCCAAAGTGCTACGATTATAGACATGAGCCACCACGCCCTTCCTAAAGATGTTTAAGACATCTTGAAATTAGGTTGGGTGTGGCGGCTCATGCCTGTAATCCCAGCACTTTGGGAGGCTGAGACAGGAGGGTCGCTCGAGCCCCAGGAGTTTGGTACTGGGCAACATAGTGAAACCTAGTCTTTACAAAAAAGAAACAAAGTCAGCCATGTGTGGTGGCGTGTGCCTATAGTCCCAGCTACTCAGGAGGCTGAGGTGGGAAGATTTCTTGAGATGGGAGTCCAGGGTGCCGTGAGTCAAGATCATCCCACTGCACTCTGGCCTGGGTGGCAGAGTAAGACTGTCTCACAAAAAAAAAAAAGAAAGAAAAAAAAAAGTCTTTCTTGAAATTTTCGTTTATTAAGCCTCTACTGTGTACCCCAGACTTGTGTTAGAGGACATCATAAAAAGAATAAAAATGTGATGGCTCTTATTTTCAAATACGACTAATGTTAACTGGGCAGACTTCATATAGATATATATGTATATAAAATAACAGAGAGACAGCTAAGCAGTTGTTCATTAGAAACTTCTTGTGGGGTCCATCAACATTAAGACGTCTGAAGCCTGTGATAAAGACAGAAAATACAGGCTTTAAAAAATAATTAAAAAGGCCAAAATTGCACAGAAATGGTAAAGTACTCTTGTTTACCATGGCATATATTGCTTGTTAAGTGGATTTTACTCCACATATTTGGAGTATGTGTGTATTTACATGTTTTTTTTTTCCACCACAGAAATGTAAAAGGAGGGGGGGTTGAAATGCTTTCTCCCAGGTCTTGTTTTTCTAAAAAAGTTTTGAGTATTGGTACTTTGTAAGTTACAGATAACTTACAGTTTTTACTGAAACTACCCTCAAAAACGAGCTGGTAGATTGTGTATTTCTGGGAGAACACCCACAATAGTACTGGGGGGCAATATTATAGGTGAATATTTCACAATAACAGAACAGCAGAATAAGTCTGCTAAAATAAACAAGTTGATTATAATGAAATCTAGGATGAAAGGGTTGTTCTAGAGCAGCACAGTTTTTATAGAAATCAAGAGAATAAAAATAAAAATTCACACATGCCCATAATCCTGGCCACTCTTGGTGGCTGAGGTGGGAGGATGGCTGAACGTAGGAGTTTGAGACCAGCTTGTGCAACATAGCAAGACCCCATCTCAAAAAAATTTTTTTGAAAAAGTAAATAGAGGTTTATGTAGAAAATATTCCAAGTCTGAATTATATAATGGTTCTCCGTGGACATGCTACACTCGTGTAGCAGGGATCCCTGAACAAGTGTTCATGGCCCTGTTTCTGTGCTCCCTTTGTAATGGGATTGGGAAGGGAAAGGCATTGTCTCTCGTCCCACCTGATCAGTCTACCTGCAGCTGCCTCCCTTTTCCTCTGTCAACCCTGGGCCCTCACTGCTGCTCACTGAGTTTCTACTGAGTGCACACTGCAGCCTGGAGGACTGAGCATCCCTTTCATGGTGTCTTATTCCAGATTCAGGTCCCTTTCATCTGGCGGCATAAAGTGAGTCAGAGACAAAGATGCATACATGCATGCCTGTGCACGCGTGCGCGCATACACACACACACACACACACACACCCATTTGAGACACTGCATCTTAGAATTTATGGCCCAAAGACTTTTCTCTTTTTACCTGGTCACTGTTACTAGCATTCCAAAGAGGAAGAGGAAGACTTTATAGAAAACTTAAAAATGATTTTCTTTAGAGGTGAATCTCAGCGTTAATTAACTGCAAGTGAAGAATCTCATGCCTCTTTAATTTAGTTAGCATTTTGTTATTTTAATTTTTTTATTTTTGAGACAGAATCTTGCTCTGTCACCCAGGTCGCAGTACAGTGGCATGATATAGGCCCACTGCAACCTCTGCCTCCTGAATTCAGGCAATTCTTTTGGCTCAGCCTCCTGAGTAGCCGAGATTACAGATGTGTGTGCCACTGTGCCTGGCTAATTTTTTTATATTTTTAGTAGAGACGGGGGCTTTATGTCGTTGGCCAGGCTGGTCTTAAACTCCTGGCCTCAAGGGATCTGCCCGCCTTGGCCACCCAAAGCGCTGAGATTACAGGGGTGAGCCACCACACCCGGCCTTAGCACGTTATAAGGCAACTGGTGCTTGTCCCTCGATAAATGAGTGCGGGAAAATCAACACCCATAATAGGTACAGACAGGAAACAGTCTTTCATCCCTCATTTGGATGTGTGTTTGTAGGTCTCGGTATTTATCATTTGGATGTAAGCCTCATCAAGAAAATGTCCTCAGCTTATTTCTCGGACTAATTTTTAACAATATGATGTATTACCTTGTGGAGAATATTTTTTGGTTGTCAGAAGGCTTGATTTTGAGCTTACAGAGTTAGGGCTTGATTTGGATCCCTTTCATCCACTGTAAATTGGCCTTGTTGTTTAGGTAGCTTCTTCCTCTGTGCTCCTTGGTGAGATGCTTTCCATACATTAATTCTTACTGTATATCCCTGGAACCTGGAGGAAGAGAAGCATCTTTATTTGACAGGTGGAATGTTCATGAGATAAACATTTTCTAAACATCTTCACCAGTCTGGTTTCTATTTACTATCTGATGTTTGGTATAATTATTGGTCTTAACCGGGAAAAAATAAAATAAGTACTAGAAGAGCCCATGTGATCTGTTGCCTCATTTCCTGCCGCTGGAAGAATAACCTCTTCTCTAAGTGTTGGGCCTGAGGAAATGTAACACTATTGTAAGGGTTAGGAGTAGAGGCTTCTGTGAAAACATTTGACTTAGTTTCTACCAAACTTCAAAAACTTGATACTTTTTCATTGTTCTAGAATTCCATTGTACTGAATGTTGCTTGAAAGGAACTGTGAAATAGGACTTGGGATGGGAGTGGGTGTAGTGGGAGTGGGTGTAGGAGAAAGCACAGAACTTCGTGGTGTCACGGCAGCTGAGGCCGAGATCCTACAACTCCTGCCACCTTCTGAGTGAAGTTAAGGTTTTCACGAGGACACAACAAGATCATCTGGGCATCTGTAACGTGCTTGCTGCAGAAATGTTATTTTGTAGTACAGTTTGACAAATTTGAGGTGAAGATTTTGCTTTATCAAAAAGTCTAAACTAAGGCATTTTAAAAGAAGTATGATTTCAGGTTTGTGGGTAAGCCTAAAAGTGTTTTTTCTGATGGGACCAGTTTATGCTAAAAACTCAGACATATGTGTAAAACATTCATTTTCTTTCAAGCAATTTGATAAAGTATTATGAGTCTACCTTAATATTCCCTCTGAAGTGTTGTAAATTTCCTCAGTAACACTATAAACTTACATTCTTTTCTTGATCTAGTGCATGTAACAGAGTTTGCATTCCTGCTCTCAAGGAGATGTAACCTAAAGGGAAATCAAGGCAGAATAAAATGAGGCTCCCACTGCTTCCCTTGATTAGCCTCCAAGAAAATGGGGCTAACGGGGGGTTGCTCTTTAAGGTTTGACTTAAAGATAAGTAAACTATCTGGATAGTAAAGAGAGATGAATATACTGGTTTATATTTGTTTCCAACATAAACATAACTGTGGGAACCTAAATATATATAAATATATGAAACTGATTACATTTTGGAGCAGTGTAACAGCAGACAGCCATTACCATTAAAACTGCCGGGATGGGCGCGGGGGCTCACGCCTGTAATCCCAGCACTTCAGGAGGCTGAGGCGGGAGGATCACGAGGTCAAGAGATCAAGACCATCCTGGCCAACACAGTAAAACCCCATCTTGGGTGTGGTGGCACACGCCTGTAGTCCCAGCTATTCCAGAGGCTGAGGCAGGAGAATCACTTGAACTTGGGAGGTGGAGATTGCAGTGAGTCAAGATTGCACTACTGCACTCCAACCTGCAGACAGAGTGAGACTCCGTCTCAAAAACGAAATGAAAATAGCAACAAAAAAAACTCTTGGACACAGGAGAATGACCAGACTGTAGATTTAAGTGGGGAAAAACGTTCACAGAACACCGTTCCCGGATTCATAAATGTAGAAATATTGATATATTTATATTTTTACAACGGAAAATATTTTGGATAGCACACACTAAAGTGTGAATGTATTTTTCTTTTAGCATTGTCTGCTATCTATAATATACATAATTCATTTTTAAAGTGCATCTCAAAAAATAAAGGTATGGAGAGAGATGGAGTGGGAGGAGGAAAGAGGTGATTTTATACAGGTGGGCAGTAGGAGCGAAGGCCTAGAGTGGTCCAGGAGGAGAAAGAGAAACTAGAAATAAAGTAGAAATAGAGGGGGACTGAAGAGACCTTGTGTCTGCCTATCCTCTGCCTAAATGTTTGTATGGCCTTTTGTATGAGAAACCTAGAGCTCGTGCTCAGGTTTTTCTAATGAGACTTTCCTGCAAGGCCACGGCCATGGACTATGTTTGGCACAGGACTGTCCATTTTAAAACATATTTTATACAGTTTCTCTCTCTCATCCTCCCCAGCTACCCTGTAGCTCCACTGTAGCTTACTGTCTTAGAAACAGTCTTGTTCAAGCAGCTAAATGCCCTATTTTGGATCCACTTCTTGATATTGCTGCTAAGGAATGAAAAGAGATGACTAGAAGATGGGCATTCAGGTCTGTCTTTAGCACTGATTGGTCATATGTGCCTTTTGATCATATTTGAAAACCTTATTTGTTTGTTTTAATGACATTCTCTCTGCCTGTGATACAATAAGAACAATGAGTCTCCAGTTAGAAAGGAGATTTTGTCCAGCTAGGGTGACATTTTTCTAATTGCATAGAAAAATAATTTCATATTGATGTAACAGTCCCCTAAGAGAGGCCTGTTTTATGTTGACATTTCTCTGGGGCTTCATTCTGGTCTTCCTAGTGGGAAGTATTTCGGGTAGAATGCCTCAGGATGTTTGTATGATTTTTAGCAAGATAACCATATGCCTTGAAATCATAAAAGACATTTCACTAAAAATGTTGATTACCTGTAAAGGATGATGAGATATGATGCATTTTTGTTAGGGCTGCAATCTGATTATCATTGTGTGTTAATAGGTGTAAATGGTGTTTGTATCTCTCGAGACCAGTACCGTCTAATCCGTCACTGATGAAATGAAACTTTTCTTTTTGTCTCCTCTATTAGGTTTCAGCGTTAAAAGCAATGGCCAGTCAGGGAGGCCCCAAGTATACTCTGTCACAGCAGCCTTGGGCACAGCCAGGTACTCTGATCTGAGCATGCTGGGTTTCTTTTTTAGGGTGGGATTCACCTGCATTGATCGAGTGCTCACTGTGACGGCTTCCCTTCACTCTGGGTGCTGCAGTCTGAGTTAATACAGGCTTCAGTTTGGAGCTGACAGGTCTTAACTGGCCCGCACGACTTGCATTCCAAGGAAGGGAGAAGGTTTTCTGAAAAATCACCCAGTTAAAAATAAAATACGGCTAAGCTGGGAACGCGCTGAGTCTGTCGATTTCTGTTCACCCCCTATCCACTGTGTTCAAGCTTTGACGATAGGAAGAAATTATGGAGACTGTACCTACTCTCAAGTATATGAAGAAATGTTGGGCTACTGTTTTGTTCCACATTTTGTCCAAGTTTATATCCTCTGTTGACATTTTAGAGTATTTGAAAAAAAAAAGGTAAAAATCGAGGTGTCAGTTGGGAGTTGGCAGGCATGCTATTTTCTGATTGGCAGTGTATTCGAGATGTGCCTAGTCTTACTTTACTTAAATGTAAATTTTTTTGTGCTGGAGGGTTTTGGTTTTTTTTTTTTTTTTTGGTCTTTAGCGGTAGACGTTTAAAATCACGACTAACTTTGTGAGTTATTTTTGGTACATCTTGCGGCATTTTAAGTTGCCATTAAACCAGAATAAATCATGTTGTTAAATTGATATTCTTGGCCATTCCCTGGCCAATATTGTGATAGAAAGCCTTTGAAATGAAAATGGGCAACATGGCGGAAGCCTGAGTGTTTTAATTACGGGTAAGCTGTGTCCAAGTTAGAGGGCAGCTTTCGCTCAGTGAGAGAGATCCAGAAAGTGATTCTGGCTTCACACCCGTGAAAAGCTGGCATGCGCAGGCACCTAATCTGGAATCAACTCTTTAACATGATTGGCTTTCCATATTGAAAGAGCATTATATCTGTTGGGTATTTATTTTCTTTGGTAAAAAGGATTGAAGCTGTTCAAAGCCTCCAAAATTTTTAATTTTTTTTTTTTTTTTTTTTTTTTTTTTGATTTGGAGTCTCGCTCTGTCACCCAGGCTGGAGGGCAGTGGCATGATCTTGGCTCACTGCAACCTCTGGCTCCCGGGTTCAAGCAAGTCTGTCTCAGCCTCCTAAGTAGCTGGGATTACAGGGGCCCGCCCCTATACTGGGCTAAGTTTTTTATTTTTAGTAGAGACAGGGTTTCACTGTGTTGGCCAGGCTGGTCTCGAACTCCTGACCTCAGGCAATCTGCCTGCCTCAGCCTCCTAAACGGCTGGGATTACAGGCTTGAGCCACCACACCCGACCTCAAAATGTTTAATTATTAATGCCTCAGGTTAACTTGAAGTTGAACTGAGAAGTTAAAAGTGTTGCTAAGTATCATTTAGGAAGATTTGTAAATATAGAGAATGTCAGTTGTCTTTGAAAGGAAGATACATAGGATTTTGTTTCAAAGGTTCCTCATGTGAACTTTGATGATATCAATACAGGTTTGAGTTGATTTGTTTTATTGCAAATAAACTTCGTAATATTCTTTAGGTCTTTGGTTTACCATGATGCAGATAAGGAGTGTTCTAACTGTCTTTATTATTTTAAACGTTGTATTGTGTGTGAAATAGAAATCTTTGACGTCTTACTGTAAGAGTACACTTAATACGGAGTACACTCTGCCAGAAGACAGAAAGTCAGTTCTTTTACTGCCAATACTGGGAATGCTGATCATAGCCTGGCGTAGTACTAACCACCTCTTTTGATTCCTCACAGTCAAGAGGCAGCCTTTTCAATTCACAACTCGGCTCACCTCTTGAAGGAACTCTTCTTTGGGGATTTATTGGAGCCTTTGACTCAAGGTTCCAATTACTGTTACAGGGCTTAGTTAGAAATAGGAGCTGACTTTTATTTTGAACATTTATGTAAATGAAACTCTTGGGTACAATAAATGTGTGTTAAGATAGATAGAAACCAGTACCGCTAAGCCCAGTGTCTTGATGCATAATTAATGTATTGCTCTTTCCCCTTTGGAAAGATCCTTTTCCTCAAAATAGGGGCCGTCATTTTCTCGAGTGGAACCCAATAGGATTCAAGGTGTTAGATGTGCTCTTAAGCATGACTAGAATTTAGAATTGCCATAGTAAAGCAGGAGTGGCTAAAAGGAAACGACAGGACAGATCGAAGTAGGACCTGCTGCTTTGCCGTTTAAGCCATTTCCTTCCTTCCTTAGTGGGGAGATCTTAGTGACAGTTCGGTTCATCATGTAGTCGTGTCCCCCATCACATTGAGGCACACTGGAGGTATGGAGTTGGTTTTTAGGAATCTGCAGTACTTGAAGCCCACACTTGAATGTCAAAGAGAGGCTTATGGCCCCTTGGGGTGGGAGCATTGAGAACAATCCAGGAACTGTCTTGGGTCCCTCCGCCCTAAAAGCTGAGGGTTACTGGTTCATTCAGACTTGGTCAGGTTCTCAGGGGTCATCTCGTGGTAAACTCATGAGAGAGTGAGTTATAAATTAGGATGCCCATTCGTTAATTCTCTGACAAACCTTTTTTAGGAAGTAGAGAACACTTTAGTCGCCAGCCTGCGTACCCACTTTCTGCTTATCAAGGGCTCTGAAGACCGAGTTAGTGATCCCTGAGGCATGTTAGTAACGATAGAACCAGAGCACATGGAAGTAAGGGTCCAGAAGGACCTTTCATCTTTAGTGAAAAATAAGCAGTTCCTGAATTCTTTATTCTTTTTTTGAGAGTATCAGAGGCATTTGAAGCAGAGCAACTCCAACTTGAGAGAGGGCTGGGAAAAATGGGGGTGGGACGTGCTGGGCTGCGTTCTCAGGTTAGGGACCCCAGCCTCTAGATGTTTGCATTTAAGGAAACAGACTAATAACACACTAAACAGACCCAGGCCGAGGAACGTCCTGATATCTTGAGGACAAAAGCATTCCTAATTTTGCTTTAAACATAATAATATTGATTCTTGCAAAATAGAGCAATTAAGAAATATTAACCCTTTATCACAAAGTAGCAGAGTACATTTCCCCATGATGTTTTCTGTTATCTTATGTATAAACAAGCATTGTACCTGGGGTGGACACGCTCTTCCTTTCACTTTTACAGAGAACACCCTCCTCTGTCTACGGAGTAGCTATTCTTTCACCACTTGACTGTTCTTTTGAGACGGAGTCTCACTCTGTTGCCCAGGCTGGAGTGCAGTGGCGCGATCTCTGCTCACTGCAACCTCTGCCTCCTGGGTTCAAGTGTTTCTCCTGCCTTAGCCTCCCAAGTAGCTGGGACTACAGTTACGTGCCACCATGCCTGGCTAATTTTTTTTTTTTTTTAATTTTTAGTAGAGATGGGGTTTCACCATGTTAGCCAGGATGGTCTCGATCTCCTGACCTTGTGATCTGCACGCCTAGGCCTCCCAAAGTGCTGGGATTACAGGCGTGAACCACCACGCCCGGCCTTCACCAGTTTACTTTCTTAACAAACTTGCTTTTAATTTATACTGTAGACTTGCCCTGAATTCTTTCTCGCATGAGATCCAAGCACCCTCTCTTGGGGTCTGGATCAGGACCCTTTCCGGTAACAAGATCATTGGTACTTTCTTACCCTGCTTTACTACAACTTTCCTCCATTAAAAAAAATATGTTTACATGGTACACTGTTTGAACTATGAAGAGCTATAAAATGAAAAGTAATGATACTTTCTACCTCCAAACCAATCCTTCTCTCAAAGGTGACTACTGTTAAAGCTTTTTTCCCAACATTGTTTATGTGTATACTAGCATATGTGGACTTAACTATCACCCAGATGAGATTGTACTAGACCCCATGCTTTTTCACTTCCTGTGTATTTTAGAGGCCTTTCTGTATAGCATATCCAACTGGATCCGTTCTATTTATTGGATGTGTTGAATACATCACTATAGCATGCTTTCTTTTGTAATTCTTGTAATGGAAAGTTAAATTATTTGCAGTTTCTGTTTTTCCTTATACTCTTAACTGCTTTGTATACTCATATCTTGTTATTTTTTGAGTATCTCCATAGAGTAAATTTCTGGCAGTGGAAATGCTAAAGGAAAGAATATCCGCATTTTCAGTTTTGCTAGATACTGCCCAATATTTTTCCAAAGAGGTTGAACCATCCTGTACTTCCATCAGCAGTACACAAAGATGTGTGTGTCTCCATACCCTCATCAAACATGAACATCACAATCTTAGTATATTTTGCCAATCATTTGTAAATATCTCACCACTTTAATTTACACTTATTTAATTATGAGTGAGGTTGAGCATCTTTATAATTGTTGATCATCTTTTTTCCTTGTAGTTTTCTGATAACTTCTTTTAAATACTTTGTACAGATGACTGCTCTCCTTTTCTATGTAACTCCTTCAGACACTACACTTGGGTTTCATACTTATTTTTGTTATAACATTTTGGGATTCTGTTCCCTTTCTCGTAACACAGCATAAGAATATAACAAACAGATATTTAATTCCCCTTAAATATATGTGGATGTTTTCTGAATGATCTAAGTGTCTCTTACTGTGAGTCACTTCTGCAGATGAACAAACTCATTCATTATGAAGTAATTCTTGCTAGTGTCTCCCCGAGAATGACTTTTTTTTTTAACCTTAATCTCTTACCTCCAAATTCCAAAGGTATATGTTACAGTCTCCCCATATTCTCTTATGAGTGTCCTGAAGCCTGCTAGGGGAGTTATTTTGCTGCCTTAACCCTTGGGAATAGAATTTTGTGTAGTAGATATTTAGTGAGTGTTTATAGGACTTAGAATTAAACTTGGTAAATAAGCTATAAAAATGAAAGAAATTCTTTGGGGGAAATAATTGGTTTCTTCTCCCTTTATTCCCCTCTGGATTAAAATGGAAATATTTCTTTTCTTTTTCTCTGCGACACTAACGGGGTTAATTTCTTTCCAGCAAAGGTCAGTGACCTCGCGGCAGCTGCGTATAAGACAATAAAAACGAAGCTGCCTGCGACGCTGAGAAGCATGTCCTTGTACTTGTCCAATAGAGACACCGAGTTCATCTTGTTTAAGCCAGTGAGGGTGAGTATCGGACGACTCATCTGAATGTTGGTGGGTGACTTCAAGTACTCTCTGCCTCATTCACGTTTTCTTTTTCCCACAGCCATGTGAAAATGTTGGTACTAGTTCTAGTGACGTGGAGTAGTCACTGTGATTCAGGGAAGGCTTACAGAGCCTGCCTCTGTCTGATTATCTTTTTTTCTCACTGTCACTTTGTCTGGAATTGTTAATGTTACTATTGAAAGTAGAAATTAGTACATAAAAAAACTCAGACCCTTACATTGCATGTGGCCCAGCTCTCAAGAGAGCAGCACTTCAGGAATTATGCCCCATTTCACGGGTGAGTAGTAGAAGTAAATGGCTTGCAGCGGCCACCAAGGGATTAAATGTCACAGCAATTTAGGGCCCATAACTTCCAGCTCTGCGTCGAGCTCCTGTCCTTACCCAAGGCTTTGGTTGATTTTTAAAATCTATTTTATGTGTCTAGGAACTTTATGGTCTTTTGTGTAAGAAATTGTTGCAGAAGACTCTTAAAATTATTCTCTGGGGGGACAAGGCTCGCTAGAGTTTAGTTTTCCTGGGAGGTGTTGGTGATGAGTCTTCGTCAGGTTGTGCCAGCTTTGAAATACTAAGAGCAAATTATATGTCTTTGTGAGATCATGAAAGACGCATTGCCTCCACTGTCTTTGGCAAATACTGCTAGTATTTAACATTCCTGGTGCTTCATGTTTAAGTCAACTCACGGCCGGGCGCGGTGGCTCATGCCTGTAATCCCAGCACTTTGGGAGGCCGAGGCGGGTGGATCACGAGGTCAAGAGATCGAGACCATCCTGGTCAACATGGTGAAACCCCGTCTCTACTAAAAATACAAAAAATTAGCTGGGCATGGTGGCGCGTGCCTGTAATCCCAGCTACTCAGGAGGCTGAGGCAGGAGAATTGCCTGAACCCAGGAGGCGGAGGTTGCGGTGAGCCGAGATCGCGCCATTGCACTCCAGCCTGGGTAACAAGAGGGAAACTCCGTCTCAAAGAAAAATAAATTAATTAGTTAAAAAAAATTTAAAAAAATAAGTCAACTCACTTCATGTGATCTCCTCTCCTCCTTTCTAAGAATAATATTCAGCGAGTCTTCCAGAAGTTCCACGTCCTGCTGAAGGAAGAGTTCAGCCCTGAGGACGTCCAGATCATTGCCTGTCCGTCCATGGAGCAGGTACTTGGTGGACTGAAGAGCCTTAGTACTTTTTTGCTCTCTTGGTTATTTCACTTGAGTAGATAATGTCTTTGAGCAAACATTTAGTTTTAATTTTATTCTGATGAGTAAGAATTCAGACTTTGAATTGTTCTCCCAAACTGTTGGGGGATGATTTTAGAATTTTCGGCTGCTGTTTAACCCTTTCTGATATGACTGTGGCTGTGTTTAAGAGAATGACCTGTTTGTAAAAGTCTCAAATAGTGACATTTAGCTTGTTGAAACATTTTGTTTGAAATAGGCATACAAAATTTTAAACCATAGGTTATTGGGGTACAGGTAGTGTTTGGTTACACGAGTAACTTTGTTAGTGGTGACCTGTGAGATCCTGATGCACCTGTCACCCGAGCGGTGTACACCGCACCTTTTTGTGGACTTTTAATAACTTGCATATTAAAAAAAGGGAAGTTATTGAGTACTGAGTGTGTATTAGGAGGAGCCTGGTGCTGTGGAGGATATTTTATTTCTGGTCTTCAGTTTGGGATAGTTTAGAAATGTAGTATGTGCTAAGGACTGGAGAATTTGGGGAGACTGATCAGGCTGGCAAGAGGATCAGTTGGACTAGAGAATTCGGGGATGTGTAGGGTTAGGGGGACAGGACTAGGCAATGACGAGTGTAGATAAATCTTGCGTTTTTTTTATTTTTGTTTTTGTTTTGAAACGGAGCCTCATTTTGTTGCCCAGGCTGGAGTCCAATGGTGCAATCTCGGCTCACTGCAACCTCTGCCTCTCGGATTCATGCAGTTCTTGTGCCTCAGCCTCCTAAATAGCTGGGACTATAGGCACCTGCTACCATGCCCATTGAAATTTTGTAGTTTTTGGTAGACAGGGGGTTTCACCATGTTAGCCAGGCTGGTCTTGAACTCCTGGCCTCAAGTGATCTGCCTGCCTCAGCTTCCCAAAGTGCTGGGATTACAGGCACCTGGCCAGAATCTTTTGAGGAGTGTTATTGTAGGGGGGAGGAGAAAAATGGGGGGGGTGGTAGCTGGAGGGAGAAATGGGGTCTTTTTAAAATTGAGATGTAGTTCATATACCATACAACTCATCTTTTTAAAGTGCGGAGTTCAGTGGTGTTTAGTGTATTCACAGAGTTGTGCGTTCATCACCACTGTCTAGTTCTAGAACATTTTCATTACTTCCCAAAGAGCCCCCTAACCCATTAGCAGAGCTCCATCTCCCCCTCGTCTGTCTGTGGATTTGCCTATTCTGGATATTTCGTTAACTGGAGTCATACAATATGTGGTCTCACAATAGCTGCTGCTCTCATTCACCTAGTGTGTTTCCGAGGCTCATCCATGTTGTGTGTGTCAGAGCTTCGTGTTTATGGCTGTATATATTCCTTTATGTGGATAGATGGGTCCTATTTTAAAAAGCTATTTGTGTTGTCCTAGGATATTTGTGCAGTCCAAATATTTCTTAATAGTTTATTTGAAGTAATTACTTTCTATGTGATTGTACCACTAAGTTGATACGTAGTTGGTTTTCTTTTCAATATTTACAGATTTTTTTTCCATTTTAATTTTGTGTCTTAATGATGTAAAATCCTTACATGATCAGAAATACAGAACAAGTTACATTTGGAGAAGTCTTGTTCCTTTTCCAGTCCCCTCCAGCATTCCATTCCCTTCCCTAGAGATAACGCTTTATTAGTTACTGGGTTATCCTTCCATTATTTCTTTTAAAGATGGGAGAAAACGTGTGTTTTTATGTTCGAGGGGGAAGACCTACAAGGAGGGGAGTATCTTGAATAGAAAGTGTGGGGTGGAATCTCAGGAACGGGCAGGGTGGGGCCTTTGTCATGGTAAGAGGAGGAGGCGGGCCTGTGGGCATGGATGGGGGGGTGTGGCTGTGACAGGAGCTCCTGGCCATGCTCATCTGAGTGCTTCCTGTTTCTGACGGAAGGAGGAAGCCAGGTCCTGACTGAGTGAGGAGGGAGGCTGGGGGAGCGCAGTGTTGGGAATCCAGGAGAGGTGTTCAGCCTAGTTGTGTGTGTGTTTCCTCCAGTGGACTGTTCGCTTGCAGGAATGCAGATGTGGAGCAGTTGGATCATGAGGTCCAGTTGATGGCAGAAGACGTCATTTTGTCAGTTTAGTTTGTTATAATGTCGGACTTCAGTGTGAGGCGCGCCCGTATGTCCTTTCCTCCATGTTTGTTTCGCCCCATTTGCTTCATTTTTCTCACTTTTTCCCTCCCCGTCCCTCAAGCCAGCCCCTCTTTTAAATCACTGGAGAGGGAGTTGGGAGACCTTGTATTCCTTTACCCCTAAATACTTCTGAGGGTATTTCCTGAGAACAAGGAAATTCTCTCACTACCCCTGTTCAGTTATCAACACAGGAAACTTAACATTGATACTGGTGTCTCATTCACAGTTCATATGCACATTCCATCAGAGTCCTGATATTGTCAGTCTCCCAGTGCAGGCCTGGCCCCAGGTAATGCACTGTCTTCCTGACACTCTCAGTCTCCCCAGGCCGTGCACTGTCTTCCTGACACTCTCAGTCTCCCCAGTCCAGGCCTGGCCCCAGGTCATGCACTGCCTTCCTGACATTCTCAGTCTCCCCAGTGTGGGCCTGGCCCCAGGCCATGCACTGTCTTCCTGACATTCTCAGTCTCCCCAGGCCGTGCACTGTCTTCCTGACACTCTCAGTCTCCCCAGTCCAGGCCTGGCCCCAGGTCATGCACTGTCTTCCTGACATTCTCAGTCTCCCCAGTGTGGGCCTGGCCCCAGGTCATGCACTGTCTTCCTGACATTCTCAGTCTCCCCAGTCCGGGCCTGGCCCCAGGTCATGCACTGTCTTCCTGACATTCTCAGTCTCCCCAGTGCGGGCCTGGCGCCAGGTCATGCACTGTCTTCCTGACATTCTCAGTCTCCCCAGTGTGGGCCTGGCCCCAGGTCATGCACTGTCTTCCTGACATTCTCAGTCTCCCAAGTGCGGGCCTGGCCCCAGGTCATGCACTGTCTTCCTGACATTCTCAGTCTCCCAAGTGCGGGCCTGGCCCCAGGTCATGCACTGTCTTCCTGACATTCTCAGTCTCCCCAGTGTGGGCCTGGCCCCAGGTCATGCACTGTCTTCCTCACATTCTCAGTCTCCCCAGGCCGTGCACTGTCTTCCTGACACTCTCAGTTTCCCCAGGCCGTGCACTGTAGTCAATTGTCACATCTCTTTAGCTTCCTTTGACCTGGAGCAGTGTGAAGGCCTTTCTTGACCTCACAGGTCAGTTGTTTTGGAGACTGTCTCTCCATTTGATGTTCTCTCTCACCATGATTAGATTCAGGCTTTGTGTTTTTGGAAGGAAGAGCACAGAGGTGATTCTGCATCCCTCTTCTGACGGCACTCGTTTATGAATGAGACCCGCATCAGCAAAGCAGCTGTACTGACAGTGGCTCACAGCCAGGTCCATTTACCCACAAGGCTCTGAGGCTGGGTGTCAGACACCGGCAGTGCAGGCAGCCATTTCCCTCCCGTCACTGCTGTGTCCTGGCTCTGGCGTCCCAGGCCTCTGCTACAGAGTGGTCAGGTTGCTCCTGCAGTTGGTCAGAATTGGCACGTGTGTTGAAATTCACTTGTCATGTCTGTTCTTGTACATTTAAAAAGTCAGTTTAAGGACAGCTAACCCACAACTCTTCCCACAGCACTCTGCATAGAACAAGGCACAGTGGATTATGGAGATAGGTTTCTGTCACCGTCAGTGTTGTATATAGTTTTTGCCGTCATCCTCATTGGATTTTAAGTGATCTGACAGCCTAGATTTGGTGTCAGGGCCTTCCAGTGGCCGTGCCCAGTGGCTGCCTCAGAAATAGGGCAGCATTGTGGGCCAGTTTTACAGCCATGTTTACTAGTCTCATAAAAGTCTTGGTGTTTTTCTCTTACTTTGTTTTGGAGGCTCTAACAGCTTTATTTTCCATTCAGGGAATGCAGCGCAGGTTAGTTACCTGGCTGTGTTGCATGATGCTGAGGCATTTCAGCCCTTGTTCCCCTTCCTCCCCGACTTTTCCTGAGGACGGTCTTCCATGGGAGAACTGACATAGCTCTTAACTTTGCTTTTCAGCTGAGCCTCCTGCTGTCAGTTTCTAAATAAGCAGGCCCGCCGGGGTGTGCACCTGAACCACCTGTCTGGGAGGAGCAGGCTGAGAAGTCTGGCAGTCTGCAGGACACCGAGGGATTGGATGTGGGAGTGTCCCCGAGAACCACGCTGCCCGGTGCTGACTGCAGAATGAAATAGAATAAAGTGTTACAAGATCGATGTTTTCTTCTCTAAAACATCAAAATGCCAAAGATTAATCTGTGATTGGCGATAACTGCCTCATTTAAATGGTCACAAGAAATGTGAAGAGAGAGCTAGGGCAGACACGCAGTGAGGTGGTTCTGGTAAAAGATGTGCAGTAGACATAGGTTACAGTAAATAGTGCCGAGAACTTTACAGAAAAGCAGCCTCGCTAAAACGTGAAACACTGTAACACTTTTAACCACTGAGCATTCCACAGTGACTCTTTTTTTATCTCCAGAAATGGGGTATTTCTACACCCTTATTTAATGTAATATTTCTTCTATCATTTTGAAGTTTACTTTGGAGTAGATTGGTTGCTTCTGAGAACACATTCTGCCCTCCTGGGAATTCCGGGTGTCACCCTTTGCTCTGTTTGATGTGAGGTAGTTTAAAGAGAGGACTTCCTGTGAAGCTCCAGCATTGGCTCCCCTTGAATTGCTGCAGTGCGAGAGGTTCTAAAGCAGGGAGCTGCAGCCCCTCACCATCGGTGTGTGCGGTGCCGTTAGTGAAGATCCTCATGGTATGATAGGGCGAGTCTGTGAGTGCAAAGTACCAATCAAGGTGTCTTAAATTTGGTGCATAAAGGAGAGAAGGAGACTTGATGAATAGTGTCCACATGAGTGAAGGTCCAGGTCACCAGCCTCTGTACGCTGCCTTTGGTTTCAGCAGTTCTTTGAAAAGCAGACACTCGAATGTCCTGTCCATTCATTCAGCTGGCTGTGCTGTACTGTGGGCCAGCCGTGTGGATCTCCAGCCTGGCTGCAGCAGAATACATTTTACCAGCAAACCTAACAGTATCCACATCTGAAAACCACCACACCATGTCAGGAATCATAAATTATGCATCTCTATGAATTTTCCAACAAATTCCTGTTTCCTGATTGGATTGGTTTTGCCTCTGATGACAAGGTACCCAGCTTCTTAGTTCAAAAAGAATTCTGGATCGGGTGCGGTGGCTCATGCCTGTAATCCCAGCACTTTGGGAGTCCAAGGTGGGCTGATCACGAGGTCAGGCGATTGAGACCATCCTGGCTAACATGGTGAAACCCCATCTTTACGGAAAAAAAAAAAAAAAAAAAAAAAAAAATACAAAAAATTAGCCAGGCATGGTGGCATGTGACTGATGTCCCAGCTACTTGGGAGTCTGAGGCAGGAGAATCACTTGAACCCGGGAGGCGGGGGTTGCAGTGAGCTGAGATTGCACCACTGCACCACTCCAGCCTGGGTGACGGAGCGAGACTCCATCGCAGAAAAAAAAAAAGGAGGGAATTCTGAGTTATTCAAACACTAGTCTAGAGGTGGACACTGTCAGGGATTCTGGAATGGGACCAGGGGACCTTTTGATGCCCGTTAGACATGACGGAGGCAGCGCTTCTGCGGAGTGCACCTGGGTCACCTGCCCTGATCGTTGTCATTTTAACAGCTCACTTCCTTTCACTTAGTTTAGATTGGTAGTGGGGGTTGCTTGATAGAGGTTTTTACTCTCTATTTTGAGAAGGTAGAAAGTAAGAAGGCCCATATTCATTTTGCCATGAAATGAATGAATTAGGAAGATTGTGTTTACTTAACTTTTTAAACACACGTTTAATGAAATAAACTGTAAAATATCCAGTTTTGTGTATTATATGTACATTTGATTTTTAATAGCCTTTCCAAAGAAATGAGGGCACGATTACTGTACAGTAAGTACTGTGACTGAGTTAATTTGATGTTCTTATAAACATATTTAATGACAGTGGTTCTTGTGTTTTGCTCTTTTATTTCTGAAGCACTCAAACACCTTACGAGGTGCTAAGTAGGTAATAGTGACCCAACGTGTTTGCTAAATGATCGTTTGTTTAAATCTGTACAGTTTAAGTGTTCACTTATACAAAGAGTGTATATACTTTCAGGTAATTTAAAATGCTTTATATTATTTGGCTAGAGATTGCTGTTTTTAATAAATGTGAATTTTTTAAAAATAAAGATTTTTGCTTCCTATCTTGTCCTCGTGTGTCTGGTATGTGTGCAGATTCCTTGAGGACAATGTCTTTAATCGAGATAACTTGTATCAGACTCACATGCAGTTGTAAGAAATAATACAGAAAGATCCCACGTACCGTTTGCCCAGCTTCCCCCAGTGGTAACCTCTTACGAAACTATAGCACAGTATCACAGCCAGGATATTGACGTTAATGTATTCTATAATCCTACTCAGGTTTTGCCAGTTTTACTTGTACTGTATACATTCCTTTGGCAAGAAAATTATTGTGAAAAGACATTTTTGAAGCATATTAATATTTCATTAGTTAAAAGACAGTTTAACCTTTTCTCTGTGAAACTGACAATTTCATGAGTATTGTCAGCATCGTCCTGACAAAGTTGTATCAACATTTAGTATTATTGCAGGAGCGGTAAAAACCTTTGTATTTCTTCCCTGGTTTAACAACACCTGGTTTAAATTTTCTTGTGCTGTTACCTTATAAGTCAGACAACTTATAACAGCCAGCCAGAGTTGGACGTCTGGCATATACCCTCCAGATGTTTTTCTATGTATATTCTAAAATAACTCTTCTTACAAAATTGGGCCTTTTTACACATGGTAAAGGAAATCAAGTGGGTTTTAATCATTAGTTTATACAAACACCCATATATGTTCTTTTGCTAAACTATTTGAAAGGACCTTGTGGTCCTTGTGACACTTTACCTTTAGTTTGTACCCCTACTAATTCAGCATCTGTTTCCAAAGAATGAGGACATTCCCCTACATAACCCCAAACCATTATCGCACCTAAAAAAGAAATTCAGTAATATCTAATACGAAGCCCATGTTCCAGCTTCCCTAATTGTTCCCGAAAATGTTTCAAGCTTTTCTTTGTCCGGGTTCAGCATTTTACTTGGCTGTCACGTCTCTTTGTTCCTTTTAGCTTAGACCACTACTCTTAAGAGTTTTCATTTACTTATTTTCTTTTTTTTGTTGTTTTTTGTTTTTTGCTTATTTTCTTGACATTGCATTTTTTTTTTTTAAAGGAAGAGTCTAAGGCCCACTATCTTACAAAACGAATCACAGTGCAGACGGTCCTGTTTCCCATTAGCAAATTCAGAATACCCTAACATTTCAGGATACATCTTCTCATATACAGGGAGGAGTTGCCAAGATAGATGTGCTGGGCCATAAGGAAAAACCAAAACACCCAAGCATGACCCACAGCAGTGGCAATCTCCTGCTCCCACCCCCAGCCCCGGATACGTGGCAGTGTCTGAAGACATTTTGGTTGTGACTGGCGTGTGTGTGTGTGTGTGTGCACACGTGTGTGTTAGGGGTGGGGCGTTACTGGCTTCTAGTGCACAGAGATCAGGGATGCTGCCGAGCATCCTACAGTGCACCGGACAGTCTCCATCACAAGGAATCATCAGGCTCCAAATGTCAGTAGAGCAGAGGCGGCAAAACCCTGCTATGCAGAAGAGCGAGTCCGAGTCCCCAGCACTTGCTGTTCCTCTCACCTGTGTTGGTTGTTTTCATACCTGGCACATGACGTATTTTGCTTGTTTTCTGTCTTCTCCGTCAACCCAGATCACAAACTCCTTGGGAAAGGAACTTTGTTTTGTTTATACGCAGAGTCTGCGGAAGGTGCTCCGTGAGTGTCGTGCGACCGTTGTGAAGCCACGCTGCCCTCCCCACGTCATCCCATTACTAAGTGCTGGGCGTTTTCTATCCACACAGCTCTTTGATTTCTTCAGTTTTTCTGGTACTGTGGCCCCGGGTCAAGGCCTTCATTTGCTTTTCCTTTCTTTTTTTTTTTTGCCCATCTTTCCTGAAGAAGGGCCTTCGTTTTCAATCCCTTCTGGGAATACTGAAGTACCTCGTTTTTTTTTTTTTTGAGATGGAGTCTAGCTCTGTCACCCGGACTGGAATGCAGTGGCATTCCCGGCTCACTGCAACCTCTGCCTCCTGGGTTCAAGTGATTCTCCTGCCTCAGCTGCCCAAACAGGTGGGATTAAAGGTGTCCACCACCACGCCTGGCTAATTTTTTGTATTTTTATTAGAGACAGGGTTTCACCATATTGGCCAGGCTGGTCTTGAACTCCTGACCTCATGATCCACCCTCCTCAGTCCCCCAAAGTGTTGGGATTACAGGCATGAGCCACCGCGCCTGGCATGAAATATCTTTATTGCAAGAGCCCATTCTTATTAAGAGCTCCCTGCCTCCTTGTTCCTAAAATAGAAAGCTCTGGACTTCTGAGGGCACAGCGGGTCTCAGGGGAGCCCCTGCCCATGTTCCAGCCTCATCTCCTTACGGCTGCTCCTCCGTATCTATTGTGGTCCTTGAGAGCAAGCAACGGAAGATGTCACTGTCTAATTTGAGCAGCAAAAGACTTTACTGGGAAAATACTGGGGGACAGACCAGACAGAGGCTGGAGGACCAGAGGAATAAGAGCAGGAAGCACCACGTGCGCACTTTTTTTTTGAAGCAGGAAGCGTTGATTCAGACTGTCTCCACTCTGTGGCCAGGTCTGGACTGGGAGGCGCTGCAATTGCTTTCATCTTGGCCAAGCTAACTCCCCATGGGGCGTGTGTGTGTGTGTGCGTGTGTGTGTGCGTGTGCGCGTGTGTCCATGCATGTGTGTCTGTGCATGTGTCAGTGCGTGTGTGTGCGCGTGTGTGTGCATGTGTGTCGGTGCGTGTGTGTGTGTCCATGCATGTGCGTGTGTGTGCATGTGTGTCCGTGCGTGTGTGTGCATGTGTGTGTGTGCGTGCGTGTCTGTGTGCGCACGCGTGTGTCTGCATGTGTGCGTGCGTGTGTCTGTGCGTGTGTGTGTCTGCGTGTGTCTGTGCGTGTGTGCATGTGTGTGCGTGCATGTCTCCGTGTGTGTGTCTGTGCGTCTGTGTGCACGCGCGTCTGCATGTGTGCGTGCGTGTCTGTGGGTGTGTGCGTGTCTGCGTGTCCGTGCACGTGTGTGCGTGCATGTGTGTGCGTATGTCTGTGCATGTGTGTGTCTGCGTGTGTGCGTGCGTGTGTCTCTGCATGTGTCTGTGCGTGTGTGTCTGCCTGTCTGTGCGTGTGTCTGCGCGTGTCCGCACGTGTGTGCGTGTGTGTCTGTGCGTGCATGTGTGTGTGTGTCTGCGTGTCTGTGCGTGTGTGTCTGGTTTTCTATGCTTTGAGTGCTGGAATGGAGGAGTAGGATTTTTTCTGTGCCGGCTGTCACTGCACTGCCTGTCAGCTACAAATCCACCCCGTTGCCCTAACTTGAGATTCTGGAGCTGGACCTTGGCAAACGTTTTTCCCTTACCAGCTGGTGCAGTGCTAGGCTTTGTAGGGTGCTGGAGGGTATGCTGTGAGCCTAAGGGAAGGGTCTCTTTTCGTGTCTGGTGTGGATGTTTCTCCTTCCTCCTTGTGGCTGTCAGCCGTGGCAGGTCTGCTGGCATTCACTCCCCAGTCAGGTTTCTGGGTCTCCTAGCAAGAAGCTTCTTGTGAACCAGCTTTTGCACCTTGGCAGGCACTGCCTGTGCACCAGCGCCGCTCTGAGGGGGACGGGGAGAGAGCTGCACTCTGCGCTTGCTCTTCTTTAATTCTTTGAATGAAATTTAAATTGAATTTTACAATTCTCTTTTACCTTTTTTGGTATTAACAGTTGACATTTCACTTTCCCTGTACAAATCATTGGTGTGGTTTCTGACGGGACCCTGACTGATAGAACGTTTTGTAGTTTCCGTGCTTGGAGGCAGGGCGTTGCCTCCTGTTACTAAATCTCACACGGGCGATTCCCTCCCAAAAAGGAGCACGGGGTTGGACACCCAAAAAATGAGGCCTGCCCAATACATCTGCACGTGCCATCACCTTGTGTCGTCCTTGATGCCGGGCTCTGTGTCTCTGCACATGCCGTTGCCTCTCCAGGGCTCTCCAGGGGTCTCCCAGTGGGCACCACACCCCCAACTCCTCTTCGTTCTGCAGCCCAGCTCAAAAACAGGCTTCCCGTGGCCCCTCCCTCGCCTCAGCTTCCGTCCTTTGCCTCCACTGCGCTTCTGCCATAAAACAAGGGCCTTGCCTTGCTGTGCTTGCATCTCTGATCCTGAGTGCAGACAGCCTGTTCCCCTTGTCTCCTGAGCACATGGTGGTGCTCAGCGTATATTTGTTTTGCTTTGCTCTTATTTATTTATTATTTTAAATAGAGACGGGTCTCACTGTGTTGCTTGGGCTGGCCTCGACCTTCTGAGCTCGAGCAATCCTTCTGCCTCGGCCTCCCAAAGTGATGGGATGACGAACGTGGGCCACGAAGCCCGGCCAGTGTCTGCTTGTCGTGTGGCTGAATTAAGTGCGGAGGAAGCGCCCTTGGAGTGCACTGGGAGAGGCTTCGTTTCCCTTGGAGCATTCCCTGATTAATTGCCCTTCGGAAAATTCTTATGTGTAACCTACTGGGTTAGTCTCATTGATCAACAGCCCAACTTAGTTCATTTTCATTTTCAGGAGAAGACCCTTTCTCTACCAAGTCATTGAAGATAATGTGACACTGTGTCGGAGAGAAGTTGTTCCCTCAGCAGTGTGGGGTCCTGGGAGGTGTCAAGGGTGTCGGGCAGAGAGGGGGTTACGGGTTGAATTGTGAGCGGACACCCTAAGCCCTGGTCACTCAGAATGTGACATTATTTGGAAACAGGGTCGATGCCAATGCGATTAGTTAAGATGAGGGTATACTGGAGCAGAGTGGGCCCCTGATCCATCTGACACAGATGTAATACCAGGGGAACAGCACGCAAGGCTGCCACCAACCAGAGCACCAGCAGCTGGAGATTCCGTCTGGCCTGGCACAGATCCTTCCCCAGGGCCCTCAGAGGGAGGGCGGCCTGGCACAGACCCTTCCCCAGGGCCCTCAGAGGGAGCGCGGCCTGGCACAGACCCTTCCCCAGGGCCCTCAGAGGGAGCGCGGCCTGGCACAGATCCTTCCCCAGGGCCCTCAGAGGGAGCGCGGCCTGGCACAGACCCTTCCCCAGGGTCCTCAGAGGG